CTGACCTAAGCCTGCGAAGCTGATTGAGGATTTCCTTATATTTAGTGTGATTTTCCTCCTCCTTCGAAACGATGTTCACTAAGACGCAGCCGAAAATTCAATAACGAATATCGCAACACATATTTTGTTTGGTCCACTTATGGGTGGAACGTTGCCGCAACAATATTAGTCTATTGTCCGATAACGTCTCACTGCCCTGTATGTATGATCACTCCACCACAAAGAGCGCATAGAGCAGTCAGATGTGCAATATGTAATCAATACATACTTGACACACGTGCTCAGTATTCTTAGTGCTACATTAGCATATGAACATAGCTTAGTATAAGGCTCTACCTGCAATATGCTCTTACGTCAATACAGAGTGTTTGATTCGGAGAGGAAGACGTGTTGACTGCGGATAAAACCTCTAGTTGGTAACTGCTGCATCTTCTTATAACCAAGATACAGGAAGTTTTATCGTCTGGGAGTAAAGACTATCGGTCGGATATGTAATCTCCTCATAAAGGCTCAGTTTTAGTATCCACTTCTGTGCGATTTCAATCTTTTTATAGTAATTGTTCATGAGTTCTCCCCACGCTAGCATACCAGACGGTAGAACATGGTAGAGCCTGGTAGGGATTGCATAGATGATCTTTGTTAAAAGAAAATGGAAAATTCTTGAATTTTGGGGTAAGACATCTTATCCTTTTCACTAGGACCTCTGTGTGTACGTTCCACTTTAAATTTTTGTACAGTCTTAAACCTAAGTATTCAATTTTGTCAACTAATTGATCATATTTTATTTGAAAATTGAGTTTACTGTAATTTGGAGTCTTCCATCGCAAAATAATGCTATAAAGTGTGTTTGTTTTATAATTCATAGCACTGGTCGCCAACCCGTCGATCGCAAGCTACCGGTAGCTCGCAAAGGCAATTCTGGTGGCTCACAACATATTTTAAAAAGGTGTGAAAATCGTAGAAGCTTCCGTAAATTTTGTAAATTCTAATAATTAACACAAGCAGCGGCAACACTGCGGTGAGCGATCTGTTCAAGAACGATCTCGATTACTGTGAACGGAATAAATACGAAAGATGCAGCGGCAGTGCGCTCAGCTTGAAATTGAACGGCACATAGTCTAGCGGTTGGGTTAGAGATGGCCTGCTGTTAAAAACATTAAGAGCCTTAGTAAGAAGATGAAGACATACATATAATTATAATATCAAAAATGTTAGGCTTGGCAACCGATGGCGCTCCAGCTATGGTGGGTCGTGATAAGGGTCTCGTGGGGTTATGCCATAGAGATTAAAGTTTTCCGCAAGTTCTTTGTTACCACTGCATTATCCATCAGCAAGCATTATTTGGACATCTTCTGAAACTAAACAACGTTATGAAATTGGTAGTAAAAATTGTGAACAAGATTAGATCTCAAGCGTTACAAAGGAGATTATTCAAAACCTTGGCCAATGAAATTGAGTGTCAATACGGGAAACTACTTCTTGATTCTGAAGTCCGATGGAGACGAGTGGTGAAACGTTTTAATGATATCATATCTGCCCTAGTCCAGTTTTTCAAACAACGTGATGAACCGATTCCGGAACTGGACAATTCAATCTTACATATTTTAGTTTTCTTGTGGATATTACAGAAATATTAAATGAACTTAATTTGCAGCTTCAGGGGAGAGACAATGAACTAGCAGAAATGATTTTGGGAACAAAAATTAATCGATGACGATGCCAGGCAATTTCCTGTTCTTTCAGAAAAGATATCTCAAAGTCCATTAGAATCATATGACAGTAAACATCATGTAGAAATAGCCTCTAACTAGAAGGATAACTTCAAAAATGGTTTCAAGGATTTTAACTAAACTGCTATAATGGCGCAATTTGTAGTTTCACCCTTCATGAAAATTAATATCCAACAGTTACGCAGAATTTTAGCGAAGACATCACTGCGACAGGAATGGAAGTGATTGCGTTTCAAAGTGATTTAGCTTCAACATGCTTAGGCAGCAGCGGTGGCCGCAGTAGTAGACTCTTCGGTCTCCTGATCAGTCGCCGTACGCTGTGCGGGTTCGAGTCCCGTCCCAGGAGAAATTTTTCTCTTGGCTTTGGATGTTGTGATTGTCCGTAGGTGGTAGACGGTCTTTGACTGTCGATCGCGGAGGTACCACCCGGCGGATCTCGTAGGCGGAGCCAGAATGTCTGCATGTTGCATACATAAAGATAAATATTCAGTCTTATGTCGTGTTGCCTTGAAAGTGGAAGCGTTATTCAGTTCAAATTATACTCCAAACATTAAAAAAAAATCGGTGAGTCTCAGTGTCAGGCTTCTCATTGAACACGTATTTTTTATCTGGACATTTTGTTTAAAATAGTGCGCTGGTTTTTTTATTTTTAGTTACCTTTATTAAATCGTATGCGACATGCCATTGTAGCTGACGAAAAGTTTTTTTTATTTTTCAAATACCTACGATTGGTAGAAATAGATGTAGTTATGTAGAATGTATTAGTTATTAGTTCATTTAAGTTTATTAGTATCTATTGGTATCAGTAAAATAAACACATGTATGTCACATACAACTGTGTATAATTTCATTTAAACTGGCTTACATTGCTTAGGACTACCTAGCTCACTATTTATTCGAAAATTATTAAAGTAGCTCAACACACTGAAAAGGTTGGCGACCACTGATTTATAGTAATAGTTAGTAAAAATGTATTACTGTTGTAAAATGGTTTTCTATTTCCATTTTCAAGGTGCACCAATCAGTACTTGTTTAGATGACTGCTGTGTCGTCAGCGAAACCGATAATTTCACCATCAGTATCTAAACTGAAAGGATTGTTGCTAAATCGTTATTCGAATCTTACCTTAGCGATAGAATGCAACGTGTGAAGATCAATAATAATCTCTCGCGGGTAAGGACAATAAATCAAGGGGTGCCGCAGGGTTCGATACTCGGACCGCTATTATTCACGCTATATACTAGTCAGCTCTCCAAATCCCTTGAATACTGTAAGCCTCACATGTATGCAGATGATACTCAAGTGTGCCTTTCATTCCTTGGTGATGATTGGCCAATGGCGGAGTTTAAAATTAATGCTGATCTTGACGCTCTATTTAAAACTTCTAATGGTCATTCAATGTCACTGAATCCAAAAAATCAGCAGCAATAATTTTTGGGAAAGATCGGTCAGAGATAATGAACAATGACGCTACATATAGATAATGTTCTAATACCGTTCTGCGATTCTGTTAAAAATTTGGGTCTCATAATAGATTTTCAGCTCAGATTTAAAGAGCATATTTCAAAATGTATACAAAGAGCGTATTATGCACTCAAGCTGCTTTACCCTCATAGACACTTTCTTAGCAGAGACATCAAACGAATGCTATGCGAAACGTTGGTTTTGTCCCAGTTTACGTATGGTGCTCCTGTCTATTATCCATGCTTGGATGCTTATACGATATCTAGAATTCAGCGTGTTCAAAATTCATGTATAAGGTACATTTTCGGTATAAGTAAATATGACAGAGTTAGTCATAAGCTGAAGGATTTACAGTGGTTGAACATGAAACAGCGTTCAGAACTATTAACACTATGTTTCTACAATAATATTTTGTCGAGCAAGTCACCGCCATATTTGTATGAAAAAGTCATGTTTAGAGAAAGTCTTCATTCTGTCAATGTTCGTTCGAAACAGAATATTTCTGCTCCATTCTATCGAACATATTTTTTCGAACGTGGCTTCTCTTACAACATCTATAAATTATACAACTCCATCGCCCAGCAAATCAAAAATATGAAAGGTTGCAAATTCAAGGCAGCTCTGAGACGATTCCTTTTAGATAAGTATAATTAACTTCACTGATAATACTGTAACATTTAGCTTTTTTGGATGAATCTCACGATTATATGATGGAATATTTTCAGTTTTATATTTTCAGTGTTATTTGTTTTTTTTTGTACTCATGCTTTTTTTTCTGCTCTCATATAGTTAGTAGTAGGCATGTAACAGTTGATATCACTATTTTGAAATAGAGCAAGGGATGAGTGGAAGAGCACGCAGGTCGTGAACTCCCCCTTGAGATTCGAGAGCAATTATTCCTATTTGTTGAACATTATTTTTGTATGCATTGTCTCTTCGAATAAAGCCATTTATTATTATTATTATTATTATTATTATTATTATCATTATTATTATTATTATTATTATTATTAAATTGAACAGAAAGGGGCCTAACACTGTACCCTGGAGTACCCTGTAAGTCGCTATCTCTTGCTGTTTGTTTTTTGTGAGATTTACGTTATCTTATCGATCAGTTACTTTATCTAGACCAATAACAACATACTTCCAGGAGGCCGATTATTGAAACGAGGAAATAAAATAACTGCGCAGTGAGCGTGACCCTTACCTTTCGGGGAACTGTATTCCTGAACGCTAATAGAATAGCCGCTTCTGGAATTGTTTTCGAGAGAAAAGATGTTGACGTCTCGCCGTCATCTACCACTCTCTAAAGACGAAGTTAGCTTTGTGATGGAACATTTAATCATATCAAGAACCCAGGAACGTATTATTTTGCAGAAAATAAATGCATTCATAAACTTATTTAACGAATCTCAACAGCTGCCAGAATTTGACATCATTCCCCAATGAAAAGAACCACGCCCATTTTCTCTTAGTGATTATAATTTCTCGTTCAAGAATCGAGGGTCAGATTCCAATGCACCTTAAAGGTATTAAAATATGCGGCATGCACGTCAACGTTTAAGTGTAAACTTCAATAATAAGCAATAAAACCTATGATTCATACGATTATTTTGCTAAAGTTGGATACCACTAATCATACTACTTGCTAAAACAACATTGATCAAGATTTGTTTTTCGTGCTGCCTCTATTGATGCTTTTAATAGAGGTTGCAATATCTTCAAACTCAAAACAAAGTTCTTTAAGCCTGGTTTATTAGACAATGTACAGTTTTATTGTCTCATGAAAAAATGAAATTCTGTGACTTACCTAACACAGGTGTCTGGTATCCTCAGCGGGGTATTCTGCAGAGCACATAGCTCTATGTACGATACAGCTGATGTACAAGCTTCATCCAAAGTAGTACTACTAAGGCACATCGACAAGAAGCTTTCTTTTGGTATCCTTGAGAAGCAAGCACTAAGTTGAGAAACTTTGCTGGTGAAGAATTCTTCACAAGCTTCTCGTACCGCCTCAGGTACGCTAGAACTGGATTTGGGTGGTGACTGAGGTCCTGCTTTGCAGTCTTTTTGGAGTGACCAGCTATCTCCGAACGTATCTACTTTAGATCGGTGAGCTTTAGATTTGTTGGTCATCAAGAAATCATCTGAAGGCTCGTTGTTGTATGTGCCCCATAAGCCTGCTGTTTTGCCGGAGTACCAACCTGGAAATGTGGGGTCAAGCAGAGTGAGCAAAATTTTGACATCCAAGTACGAGGGATGTCTTTTAAGTTTTGCATATAGAAACATAGTAGGCCACGCGGATCGAACGTCAGTACTGAATCTTAACCTCACTCTTTAGTAAACTTAAATTCAAAGTTTCAGAACAATACGTGTAGTGTTCTCACTACAGTGAATTTTTAAGTGTCACCAAGTCACTAGAAAAATGGAACTCAACCGAGAACATTTTCGCGCCATGATTTATTACAACCTTCAGGGACAATTTATCACAACAAGAACGCCTTGCTGATTTACTGTCTGTTTTCGGCAACGAAGCGCCACATCAGTCGACAATTTTCCATTGGTATGGAGAATTTAAACGTGGACGGGTGAGTCTTAGCCAGGGTGGGTGCACCAAAAACGGCATTCACCCAGGAAAACGTCGATGCTGTGCGCAAACTCATCATTGAAGATAGACATGTGACATATCGCGAGATTGAGGCGTCCTTGAAAATCTCAAAGACCTCAATTCAAAAAATTTTACATGAAGAATTAGGAGTAAGAAAATTAGTTTCTCGTTGGATACCCCACCTGTTGACTGAAGAGCAGAAAGCGGCTATAGTTAATTGCTGTCAAAAAACGCTTGACCGTTTCAATTCTGGAAACTCAAAAAATGTGTACGGCATTGTTAGTGGGGATGAATCGTGGATTTACTGTTATGAACCAGAAAATAAACGACAGTCGGCTGTTTGGGTGTTCCAAGGTGAAGAAAAGCCAACAAAAGTCATCCGTTCTCGAAGTGTTTCGAAAAAGATGGTCGCGACATTGGTGTCAAAAGCGGGTCATATTGCAACAATTCCTTTTAATGAGCAAAGAACTGTTACTGCGGATCGGTATACTACCATTTGTTTGCCAAAAGTCATCACCGAGCTTCGAAAAATCAACCCCGAAAGAAGAATCGTCCTCCACCAAGACAATGCAAGCTCGCACACAGCCCAAAAAACAAGGCAGTATTTAACGGAAGAAAACGCGGAATTATTGGACCATCTTCCATATTGTCCCCTTCTAAGTCCTAACGATTTCTTTACTTTCCCGAAAATTAAAAACAGACTGCGTGGTCAAAGGTTCCAGTCACCAGAAGAAGCAGTTGACGCATTCAAAAATGCCGTTTTGGATCTGCCAGCAAACGAGTGGAATAAGTGCTTCGAAAATTGGTTCGAGCGCATGCAGATGTGTATTAATCTTCGTGGAGAATACTTCGAAAAACAATAAAGTCAATTAAAACTACCTACCGTGTTGTTTTATTTCCATATGCAAAACTTAAAAGACATCCCTCGTATACCGCCCCGGCCTGGCCTCAAGAGCTCAGATATTCGGCATGATGAAGCTTTTATATATGTAGAAGAAACCTATGAGGTAGATTGGTCATATAGTGAGACACTGGCGCTTCCAGGATTTCAGTTTGGGGAGCGGGTAGTGTGTGGAACTGGATCTCTAGTGCGATTTATAAAATTTACAGGGTGTTCCAATCAAAATGGAAAGAAATTTTTGAGCAAACTGGAAAAGATATCAAAAATCTGTTTTCGTGGCAACCTTGATATATTGTTAGTCCATATATTAAAATTATTATAATATATGCAGGGTGTTCCATAACTTCGCGTCATAGCAAACATGTATTTGCTTAAATAGAATACCCTATATTTTATTGCGTATCTGGATAGGGCTTCTTAAAACAAGATTTTTGTATCATATAACATATGGTTTTGATTCTCAATTGTTTAGATACTGAAATTTCTGATAAAAATGTCCAACTTTGACAGCACTCAGATCCGCGACTTTTGAAGAAATTTATGTAAATTTTAGTTAAAATAATATTAATATCGATTTTATGCTGATACGTAAGTAATGCTAAAACATCTTTCTATTTATACAGGATATCTCAAAATGCGAAATGTACCTTTTCCCGTAAATTTCAAATGGGGGGACCAGACACACTTAACCCTACAGCAGTAGCTACGGGTCACTCTGACCCGCACATATTTTCTACGCCCTGCCTCTCCCGTATTAGTTAAGATACATCGCTCGCCTCTTAGGTACCTTCCTATGAACTACTTATCTACAAAACTCAGTACATGTTGCTTTGTTTACATTAAGCTGTCTACTTGAACGGAGCTCTTGCGGGTCACCGTGACACGCAGCGACTGTTTTCGGTGTCATATTATTTTGCGACTATTTTTGGTTCTATTGTTTATTACCGGCATTTTGGTGTCTAAGTAAGTAGGAACCATCATAAAAACCAAACCTCAGCTTCCTACTTGCTTTATAAAAAGCAAAGATGTGAGGTAAGCTCGTTTGTTTTTTGTTTTGGAAAAAATAGTACAACGCTGGTATCATATGTACCAAAAAAGGGCAAGTTTGTTGTTCCGCTATCGACTATGCACCATGGTAAAACAATTGATCTTGATAGTGGTGCCGCCCGGAAACCAGAGATTATCACATTTTACAATTGCACAAAGTTTTGGCATATCATCGTACAATGAAAAAGGGGATCAGCGCTTGATGAGAAGAACTTGGCTCAAAGAGTTAGCCAAGGAACTTGTTTCTCCATACATGCTATCTCGACTGCAAATTGCAAATCTTCCCAAGTTTATCAGGACCAACATTATAGAAATTCTCCAGGTGAATCTGCTGCTGCCGAAGAGTAGCAAGCAGAACAAGATTCAAGAAAAAGGCAGATATGTAAATTATGTGCGAGAACTGGTAACAAATCTTATCACACTTGTGCGATTTGCAAAATATATATCTGTGGAAATCATGGCAAACTTACATGCCTGAATTGTCTGAAAAATACTCCTTAGAAATGGGCACGCAATAAATACAATTTATAAATGGTTTCAGAGATATTTTTTTGTTATAAATTTTAATTTAGTATTAGCAGAAAAAATAGATTTATGTTTTTCATTATTTAAAGTAGGATTTATTTTTTAGATATAAAAATTAATCGACCAATGCAAAAAAAAACCTTTTTAGCTATTTTTTTGAAAGATACCTAACTTTTAGATGTTAAGGTTTTTCTATACCAATGTTAGGTTATATGCTTTAGTTACCTTCGCAAATAAAATCTTTAAAAAAATAATCAAGCAATTTTATTGTTTATACTAAATTTATAGGGCCTAACATTAACGGGTCACTATGACCCGCAGCGACCTGATTAATATACCTTGGGGGTGCGACCGCTGTCGGATTAACTTTCCTTATGAGTACTTTATAACCCTAAAATATAAAATCACTATCTTTCAAAATGGCAAACAGGCAGAGGGTCAAGTTTGAGAATCTAATCATCAAAATGTTATATTTAGTATGTCACATCAATCTTCTTCTGATATGATCTATCCGAATAAAATATGATACATTTCGCTGAAAAAATATTCAATTAAGAGGTTTGTCTTAAAAATGAGGTTCCCAATGCTGTATCCTTGATGCGCGTGATGCTAGGCGAAATCTGGCAACAGTGTGATGCTCAGTATCGGCCCGACAGCCATGCGCTCTTCATCACCGTCACTCTCAGATAGGAAATTCGTGCGATCATCCGATTTTTGGACGCAAGACCATTACCACACAGAGAAATTCATCGCCGCTTGAGTGAAGTATAGGGGAAATGTGTCCGCAAATGTGAAGAGAGTGCTCTGACGGCAGCATGGACAGACTGCACCACAACAATATGCATCCTCATGTCTCACAACAAACGAAGGACTTAATCGAGCTATTTAGCTGGGAAGTCATTGCCTACAGCCCTGACGTAGCGTTTCCGAAATTGAAGAATCGCCCAGTCGTTCAACGGTTCGAGACGGACAAGGAGCTACAAGGAGCAATTACCAAGTTTCTTACAGGGCTGGAAACGGACTAGTGCCTGAAAAAATGTGGAACCTTCTTTTTGAAACAACCCTCGTAAATGTTTGAGAGATTGACATGACGCACTAGTGTATACGGTTGCTCATATTACAGAGATAGAAAGCAAAACGGCTATTCAATTAGTTGCCTTGTTAACTTCAGGGTTAGTGTTCGGTTCCGTCAAAAATTATCCCTCAAATACTTTACCTGACATTTGGAAGGTGCATATCTTGAACTTCATATTGCATTCTAGTGAAAACCCGTTCTCGCTGGTGACATAAAATACCCCGCCGTCCCTGTATAGGTATGCCTCTCCAATTTGCGCTGGCAGGAATTCCACGTCACTATCCCCGATTTGTATTCCCTGTAATTTGAAAGATATGTTTTCCTTTCAGGACGCTTCGAGATTCTTGCCACATATCGAATTCAGTAAATATTATTGCATCCCCTGGTTTGAGACTGTATTAGCAAATGCTGGTGTTTTGACAAAATCTTGGGGACATCTTTCTAGAAATCTAGCAGAGGAAATGAGATATTGACGAATAAATGATATCACCACAAAGTTTATCGTTAACCCCTGCTCAACCCTGTGAATAGTGGGTGACAAGCAAAATTCGTGTTGGTAGACAAATACTAGGTTAACATCCTAATGAGGTAATAAGGCGCTATATAAAAACCCATAATCACAAAAGTCAGTTTGATTCTCGGTGCCACTGCTTAGTCTTTATACGTAACAAGGTAACGCAGAATTTCTATACTAAGTGACATATAAATCCGAACACCCAGTTTAAATGGTTTTATTTTAATAAAATTTTGTATAAATACTTAATGAAGCATAATAAGTAAATGATGAAAATTTCTAAATGATTGCACTGCTTTAAAGCCCTTTGACCTTTAATAATGTGTGGATGCACCCTGATGTGCTACGCATTCTCCAACGCGCCTAGGCATGCTTCTGATCAGGTGGTCAATGTCCTCCTGTGGTATCTCATTCCAGGCAACCACCAACTCCTCTCGAAGTGCTTCTAGAGTCTGAGGAGGACGTTGCAAATTGAGCAATCTCCTACAGATCATATCCCACACCTGCTCAATTGGGGATAAGTCGGGAGATCTTGGTGGCCATGGCAACAATGTGACATCATTATGTTGAAAGAAGTCTATTGTGACTCTTGCAATATGTGGTCGGGCATTATCTTGTTGGAAAGTTGGATCTGCCAGGGTGTCGATATAGGGTAAAAGATGGGGTTCTAGAACTTCGTGGATATAACGCTGCGCGTTCATGTTACCTCTGATGAAGATTAAAGGTGACCTGGAACTATAATCTATAGCACCCCAAACCATAACTCCAACAGTGTGATGAACATGTCTTTCAACAAAAAACTGTGGATTCCTCCTTTCACCACGTCGCCTTCTAACCCTGGCACGACCATCGTGCATGCCTAAACAAAATCGAGACTCGTCACTAAAGACAGTACTGTTCCATTCCTGATCCCAGAGTCACCGTTGTCTGCACCACTCAAGGCGATTACGTCGGTGTTCTCGAGTTAAAGGGAGGACCGAGTGTGGCCGGAATGAAAACAAGCCAAAACTTCTCAATCGTCAGTAAACACTTCGCATGCCAATAGGTCTATCGTGTTCTGCAAACCATTCATTTGCAATGGACCTGGTAGTGGAGAGTCGGTCCCTTAAGGCCAATAATCTTAGGCGGCGATCTTCACGGTCTGTTGTTCTACGGCGGCGTCCAGTGCCCCTAACAACACCTAACCACAGTGTCTACACTTCTTTGCACTCTAACTGCAATTGCCCGAAAAGAAAGTCCAGCTTCCCGAAGTCCCACTATACGGCCCCTATCAAACTCACTAAGTTGACGAAATCGTACAGGTCTCCGTACTCTAGGCATCGTAACCGATCGTAAAGGATGTCAAGAACCAAAATCCGCCAACGTTGATTCTTTACTGCGGCTGAAATATTCATTTTTAGAGCGTTAGTGAATTAAAAAAAAGCAGTATAAAAACCGGAATGTCCAACTGATAAGGCTGAACATTTTTTCACTTGTTATTTACAGTAAGATAAATACATTCACCAACTTTTATTAAAATAAAACCATTTAAACTGGGTGTTCGGATTTATATGTCACTTAGTATATATTTGCCATGTTTGTTTTCTCATGGAGTCACATATGGAAACGTAGCGCTCGATCTGGCAACACTGGGCTTGGAGGAGAGACAGGGGAACATGTGATCCGTCTTCAGTACAAGTTTGAACAAGCTCGAGTCATTTGTTTGTTCGTAGCGTTTTTTGTGAAACAGTTTTTTCTATTGTGTTCTAAAATGAGTGACATCAACTTCCAGTATCGGTGTGCTATCAAGTTTTGCTCCAGACTCGGGCACAGTGCGACCGAAACCCTTGATAAACTTCAGTAGGAGATGGTGTTTTGTCAAGAGCCCAGGTTTGTCGGTGGTTTAAGGCATTTTCAGAACGGAGAGTGTCAAAGGAACCCATTTTTGAATCGCCGAAAAACATTCAAACGGCTGTAAACGACCAGCTGAAGGTTATCCACTGCTATGAGGAGTGGAAGAACCGTATCTAGCTCTGTGGGGTCTCAGAAGGAAGTAATTTTCTAGGTGACAATATAAAATTGTAATTATATTAGAATAAATAATAGTTAAAAAACTAAAAAAACATGCTTTTATAGCTAACCAAACTAGAAAGTAGAATATAACCATTTTGACTAACTTGCAAATATGCCGTATAAAGTAGTTGTATAAACGTTTATGCAACAGTTAAAAATTTGCCCTATAAGGTGTTGTATAACTATGCTATAAGAACATTTTAAACGCCTCATTTTAGAGCAAATATGTTGCAGAAAGCAAATTTGCACTCCACACAACATTAAGCCAGCATTTTGGTCTTCAGGCAACAACAATAGAGAGCTTTTATGGCTGAACGGTTCTTTTACCAAAAGCTTATACCACTACTTTGCTAGTTGGGTACGTACATACAGGCCAAGCTAATAAAAGCGAATTAATAAAAAGAGAGCTAGATCGCCAACAGCCCGCCATTGCCAAAGGGTCCCGAGACTGTCCGAGAAGGGTCAACCTACTTGTCATTTTTTCATTATACTGAACAAGTGCCAGCATTGGTGCCAGCCATATATTTTTCATAAAAATCAACAAACTGGTACATAGTCTCATAAAATGGACATGCTAACACTCTTCCTTCCTCCCTCCTAAATATCGAGAAACAAGGACTTTCGAATAACGAATCACCGTATTTCCTACGCTTGATAAATGGCAGTTTGAAGTATCATTACCATACGCCGGGAAATTATCGTTTGAAATTTTACCGCTAATGTTGCTACAAGACAAATTATCTGTCTCTAATAAGTAACATTACAGGATAGCTTAAAGTACAACTGAATTATTTAGTGCATGGAACAAACATTTTTACCTTCCATTTAATAACATTGCACAACGCGATAGAGCTTTTAAGGAATGCATTAAAGTATAGACGTTGTTTTAGTGAGGTACGTTCTGGGAATATAAAAGCATGAAAATGAAACTTCTGTGAAAGAGAGAGAACGATAGATAATTGTGACCCCTCGTTAAGCTTGTTTTGAAATTCCTAGCAGCAAAATGACAATGTTATTGTATCAATTCCAGCAACGCACCTCTCGACTTGGTGGGCGACTACACAGCGTCAGCCGCGCGACACGATTGCGCGTGGAAGTGTAGCGCAGCATGCGCTGAGTTATGAAGATCGCAGAAGAAAGCAAAACTGACGTTGCTTTACATCGGTAAATATTACCGAAAAAAAAGTGAATAGCTGCATAACATTGATTTTGACTTTTATGTACATCAATTATTGTTATTTTTTCTGCCAAATATAAATTCAGAGTATGAGTTAGTTGCATTTGATAAAAGATCAAAAAAGTGAATCCGGCACTGACATTTTGGTTTCTCGAAACATCTCTGGATCAATTTTAAGCACAGTTTTGTAAAAGGTTGACGAAATAAAGTTGTTAACATTTGGAATTATAAGTTCTGTTACATAAACTAATATGAATAAGAATAAATAATATCTTTTGATATAAAAACCAATCTATTTTGCTACTTAACAAGCACCAGTCATTCGCCCTTATATGAATAGTTAAACACCCTATATTCAGTGTCAAACTTTGATGAAATACCAAAAATCAAAAAGATGGAGGCCGGCCCTGGATTTCTTATCCACACAACTAGATTCACGTTACTCCTAGATAATTTCATTGTTATGCAAAATTTCATCAAAATCGATTCAATTGTGCCTGAGAAATGTGATATTAAATATTTGACGGGTTTCTCCGTAAAAAATTAATTTAGAGCTTTTTTTTTTCGAATACGAGGTTCTTCCACTCCTCATAGCAGTGCTGGAACTACCATACTGCAACATCCTTCAGCTGGTCGATTACAGCCGTTTGAATGTTTGCTAGTGTCCCAAATTCAGCTCGAAATTGATGTCGTTCATTTTTAGAACACAATAAGAAAAACTGTTTCACAAAAAAAATTGCTTCAGACTCCTGCTAGTTCAAACTTGTACTGAAGGCGGATCACATGTTCCCCAGTCTCCCCTCCAAGCCTAGCCCCTCCAGTGTTGCCAGATCGAACGTTTCGTTGCCAGTTTTATCACTTAATTTGACGTCCTCGTACGTAAGGCATCAATTCGTACTACCTACAATTTCACTATGTTTATTAAAACCTTGAGCACCCTGTATATCTGCCGACCAACGTCTTTAGGTGTCAGCGTATGTCTTTTATTACTTTTGAAAGGACACGCGCCTGTGACGATGGAAATTGTGTGTGAACGTCAAAATACAGCATATGACTGGATATTTTCTTGGAGACTATGCTAACCGGTGATTAAACTTACATCACTGTTCATGTTTACTCGGACCATCGTGCTATTTAGTAAAAGCAGGAGCTCCTCAATATGCCTGTTCTCATTGTAGGCAACCAAGATAGTGAAATTCCGGTCGACAAAATCCCTCGCTAAGAGATAGGTGCATCTACCTTCGAAATCGTAATATCTCTTATCGAATGTGATGTAATATTTTGATCCAACCAACATGGCATGACCTAGAACAAAAACAAAGTTTCAAATAAAACCTGAGATCTAAAATTTATTCGTTGTATGCACGTTTCAATATAGAATTCATGCTGGAATTTGAAAATCTCGAGCCGGTGCAATATACGGGGTGCTACACAGCAATGTCAGGAAAAGTTAAGTCCTAATAAACATCTGCTTTTTAATTGTAATAAACCTGAGACAGATCTCATCGACTTCGATGCTAGAGAGTGGTAGCCCAGTGAGTTAGGCTTGAACATTATTTTAAGCTAGCTACGAGGGTTGTTTCAAAAATAAGGTTCCACATTTTTTCAGGCACAAGTCCATTTCCAGCCCTGTAAGAAACTTGGTAATTGCTCCTTGTAGCTCCTTGTGTGTCTCGAACCGTTGAACGACTAGGTGATCCTTCAATTTCGGACACGCTACGTCAGGGCTGTAGGCAATGACTTCCCAGCCAAATCGCTAGATTAAGTCCTTCGTTTGTTGTAAGATATATGGATGCGCATTGTTGTGGTGCAGTCTTCGGCTTTGGTGAGTTTTCCCTTACTACGATTATGGATTGCCTGGCTCAGCCTCTTCAGAAGCCAGACACACGCGGCAAACGTACAGTCTTGGGAACCTTATTTTTGAGACAACCCTCGTATAAATAATATTTAACCTTTGAATGGAGGTAGCCATCCCTCTGGATCCATGAACATCTTGTAGTTGTAGTAAATATCCCAGAAAGTTGCCTGAGATGCTTCTAGGTACGTAGCTAAGTTATAGACCCTCTTTATTTCTGGTATTTCCTGTAATAAAATATTATGCATCTTATCAGTGAGAATATTTAGTGATTCAGTACTTCAGATGATTCATCATAGTAAATTTATAGCATATACAATACTACTCAGCAACGCGACCATCTAAAATCACGTTGAAATTTTCTCTGCACACGATGTGTCTGTCGCTGTGCTGGGTATACATTTTACATCTAACTCTTTATATCTTTGGGAGTTGCGCTGCTGTGCAGTATTACATACAGGGTGTCCAAAGAGTTCTGCGATTAATAGGAGTTTTCCGCAGATATCTAACGGTGACCTTGGATTTGATCTTGATCAAGACCATAAAGGTCGTTTGAAGGTCGAGTCGATTTTTTTTAAATAGAAGCCTCTATTTTTGACCACGTGAATAAAAAAGCGGATAATTCCATTGTCAAATTTTGACCTTAGGAGGTCGTGGTCAAGGTCAAACCCAGGTACTGTTACCCAACTTGAAAACCAATAGTCGTATAGGAAAACTGACATTTTTCCCCGGATTGACCTTGGATTTGACCTTAACAATGATGACCTTCAAGATCATGCGAAGGTCAAGTCGATTTTGTAGCCAGGTAACAATTGGATATTACATAGTTTTCTGAATTATTAAGAAATTAAAATAAACTTGTGATGGTCAAGTCCACGGTTAATTTCTACAAATGGTCAACGACATAGAACATGTCCCCTTTTCTCCATTTCCGCGGTCAAAAGTATAGGGTCGCATTAAAGTCCCATTTAAACCCTGTAAGTCATGGCCAAGGTCAATTCCAGGCTCACCATTGGATATCCGGGAAAAAATCATGAAAATAATGTCTTGGTAGTATCTATACAACTACTGGCTTTTAAGTTCTATCACCATGCCTGAATTTGATCTTGACTATGACCTCCTAAGATCAAACTTTAAGAATGCTCAAGACGATATTGGAACGTAAAATTTTCCACTCTTTTTATTTACGGGGTCAAAAATCCGTTCAAAAAAAACAACTTGACTTTCAAGTTATGCAACTCCAAGGTCACTATCAAATAGCTGGAGAAAACTCCTAACAATCGCGGCGCTCAATTTTTATATTATTATTTCGCAAATGATCGAAGGATTCAGGAACACCCTGTATGCTGTGGTGTAGTTTCTATGATATTACCTTAAACTTGGGTGTCTCGTTGAATGCGTGCCAGGACATAGGTAATTTTTGCTCTAGAAGCATGATCCCATCGTAAGGCTCAAATATGAACTTCGTCTTTGCTTTGCGATGCCTTCAAGAAAATAGATTTGGATAACTTCTCTTTTTGTTTATTGCTAGATTTTCAACTCACCTATTTTCATCTTCAAGCGCTGTGACTGTCATATCAGACAGCTTCAAATACATCAGCTTGATCATTCTTTGTATCCTATTCTCCATGTCAAAGTAATCATAGTAGTACTTCAATTGATCTGAAGCTTCGTTCCACTTCATAACCAAAAAATTGATAGATGGTATATCAGTTAATTTTTTCAATTCTGTTACAATTTCGTTTATGATATCTATAATTTCTCTTCCAAAAGGCACTGAACTCAGGTACTTTTCTTTCAAGAAGGACCAAGCCACTTGCGCGTACTTGTATAAGTTGGCTATAGTGTTGTTCCCTGTCATATCCTTGTAAAACTTGTCAACATCATGTGACAACTTTGTGAACTGAACAAAGTATGGCGATTCAATGATTTCGTTTTTGCGTTGGTACAAAAAGTCTGGAAAGCCAAATTACAGCGATGTATTATATAGTGATGCATCGTAGTGATGTATTATAGTGGTGTATTATAGTGATGTGTTATAGTGATGCATTATAGTGATGTATTATGGTGATGTATTATAGTGGTGTATTATAGTGATGCATTATAGTGATGTATTATAGCGATTTATTACAGTTATGTATTATAGTGGCGTGTTATAGTGGCGCATTACAGTGATTTATCATAGTGAGGTACTATAGTGATGTAGAGATTTCTTACCCAATAATTCTTTTCCAGTATGCCACAACATCGATTCAACGTAGTGAACGAACCTCAAGAAAGCCGGCTCCAATGCAGCCAATGTTTTGTGCCAATGTTCAATCACCATGTCGTATGTTTGTGTCCACAAGCTTTCAACATACTGCAAGGCAGTGACGTGGACGTTTTTGATGAACTCATCGTATCTTTCAACTACCTTCTTCAATACCTTGGTGATATGCTCGATGGGATCTCCATTTATCAATTCGTGGATGAACTGGGTTGTATTCTTGTAATATATTTTAATTTTTTCTACGACCCATAGAATGCTTTTTTTAATCTTCTGACCCGAGTCGCCCATTACTGACCATATTTCTTGAACGATCTTGGGTAATGATTGGAAATGTGACTTCAAAGCTAATTCGTCGAACATAGTCACAACAATATTGGTTATTGTTCTGATGTAAAATTCATTTGCATAGTATGATTCGTTCAAAAATATTTTGAACTCCTCAAAATCATCTTCGATTAATGTTAGGTTTCTCAAGTCTGCCAAGAATTGTTCAACGTTAGGTTTCGCGTCCATCCATATTCCGTTCACTGCATCCAAAGCTTCTGCTCTCATGTATTGTTTGGTATTATTGATTGTTTCAAGGGTTTCTAGGTAGAATTCTAGCATTGACCCTCGTATAGAGCCCTGGAAGCAGATTTTAAAAAGATATCTTGATGAATAAAGGAAAAAAGTCTTTATTTGGATGCTAAGAAAATTGCTTGAAAGTTTAACAACATTTTTTTCAGTTTGGAAATATTTAAACCGTAATGAAGCTGTTTCATCTGAAGTTTTCAAATGAAAACGTATTATACTGTTCTTTGATGTTGATGTTAAGACGTAACATTTGAAAATTTGAGATGAAGGAATTTCATCATGGTTTAAATATTTCCAATCGGAAAAAATATATTAAAAGTTTTTCTTCGTTTTCTACCATCTAAATAAAAGCTTGTGTCTCAAAAAGCATTTTTCTTTGATTTAGTCTTTACTTTTTAGTATTAGTAAGGTTAAGTAAGGTTGGTTAAGGTTAAATAAGGTTAAGTACGATTAAGTAAGGTTAACTAAGGTTAACTAAGGTTAACTAAAGCTAGATTAGGTTAGATAAGGTCAGATATGGTTAGATAAGGTCAGATATGGTTAGATAAGGTTAGGTAAGGTTAGGTAAGGTTAGGTAAGGTTAGGTAAGGTTAGGTAAGGTTAGGTAAGGTTAGGTAAGGTTAGGTAAGGTTAGGTAAGGTTAGGCAAGGTTAGGTAAGGTTAGGTAAGGTTAGGTAAGGTTAGGTAAGGTTAGGTAAGGTTAGGTAAGGTTAGGTAAGGTTAGGTAAGGTTAGGTAAGGTTAGGTAAGGTTAGGTAAGGTTAGGTAAGGTTAGGTAAGGTTAGGTAAGGTTAGGTAAGGTTAGGTAAGGTTAGGTAAGGTTAGGTAAGGTAAGGTTAGGTAAGGTTAGGTAAGGTTAGGTAAGGTTAGGTAAGGTTAAGTAAGGTTAGGTAAGGTAAGGTTAGGTAAGGTTAGGTAAGGTTAGGTAAGGTTAGGTAAGGTTAGGTAAGGTTAGGTAAGGTTAGGTAAGGTTAGGTAAGGTTAGGTAAGGTTAGGTAAGGTTAGGTAAGGTTAGGTAAGGTTAGGTAAGACAAAGAAAGGTTAGGTAAGGTTAGGTGAGGTTAGGTGAGGTTGAGTGAGGTCGGGTGAGGTCAGGTAAGGTCAGGTAAGGTCAGGTAAGGTCAGGAAATTTTAGGTAAGGTCGGGTTAGGTCAGGTAAGGTCAGACAAGGTCAGGTAAGGTCAGGTAGGGTCAGGTAAGGTCAGGTAAGTTTAGGTAAGGTTATGTAAGGCTAGGTAAGGTTAAGTAAGGTTAGGTAAGGTTAGGTAAGGCTAGGTAAGGCTAGGTAAGGTTGGGTAAGGTTAAGTAAGACATTAGAAGTGTTACACCCAGAAAAAAAAAATTCTTCGACTTGATTTTTTGGCAATGAGGTAGTCTCACATCAAGAATGAAACGATAACATTCTCACGGAATTTTATTGATAATAGGAAAAAAAATAATAATGTGTTGGTCGACCCCGCAACTGAATACACTCCTATATACATCTAGGCATCGACAAAATAACATAATCGATGTCTGGTTGTGGCCTCATTCCAAGCAACTCGAACTTAGTGGATTAGCTGTGGCAGAGTCTCTGGAGGATGGAGCAAAGTGAATAATCTCCTCCCCATTATATTTTACACATGCTCGATGGGATTTCAGTCCGGTAAACGGAATGGCCACGGCAAGACGCTAACTCCTGCTTCTTGAAGACAGTCCGTAGTACGACGAGCAATTTGGAGACGTGCGTTGCTGAAAAAGGACGTGTGGACAGCCCTCTAGATACGGCAGTAAAGTGGTTTGTAGGACATCATCAACATAACGCGCAGCAGTCATGTTGCCACGAACAAAGAGGAGGGATGATCGGATACCATACCCAGACCATTACTCCAACAGTCCTGTGCACATGCCTCTCAAAAGCAAATCCAATACCACGCCGTTCTCCACGGCGGCGTCTTACCCTTCGACCGTCCTGCTTACCTTGACAGAATTGCAATTCGTCGCTGAAGATGACATTATGCCATTCTGTCTCCCAATATTGCCGTTCTCTGCTCCACTTCAGTGGTCCGCAGTCATAGGAAGCACTAACCATGGACAGTATGAAAAAAGTCGAAAGGCTCGAATGCGGCGATAGAGTTTACGCATAGTAACAGAGCTGCTTTCCAGTGGTTTTTGGTTTGAAAGTGATACGCCCCCGAACTGCTCCAGAAACAATACATGAGAATACAACGACAGAAGGACATTTGTTTTTTATACTCCAACTGCAACGAAGGCCTAAGGCGTAAATACCCATGGGGTACCGTGGTGCTATAGGGAAAACAGGAGAATGGAGGGACGCCATACGGACTCTCGCGAGAGAACACGTATGCATGCAACAGGCACACATTCTGGCCCCGTCTCCGAGATCCGCCGGGTGGTACCTCCGCGTGCGACAGTCAGAGACCGTCTACCACCTACGGGCAATCACAACATCCATAGCCAAGAGAAAAATTTCTCTTGGGACGGGATTCAAACCCGCGCAGCACACGGCGACTGATCAGGAGACCGGAGAATCTACCACTGCGGCCACCGTTGACGCCTAGGCAGTAGAACGGTGTTGGTGCTGAGGAGTACTGAGTTACTCGGAGTAGCTCACTGGAAAGCACCTCAGGTATACCTTCTCCTTCAAACCATTGGTCAGCGATCTGACGCGTAGTAAATTGATTCCAAACACGTCTGTTTGAAATAGAGGGGCAATCTGTTTGTTTTATTTTCAATCATTCCCGTCAGCTTTCCTTTGGATTTATTTTTAAATTCGCTGTTACCCATTATTATGAAAAACCGTCATTCAATTCATATACTGTCTTCTTCTTTCAAATAGTATGAGTACACTCAAACTGTTAGAGTCAGTATTGCAATACTGATTGCCTATACATAGACTAATCCAGTTTATCATCAGAACGTTAAATAAATTAGATATGCCCAGCATAGATAGCTAACAGCCTACGATGACAACTGTTAAATCTTCTTTTAAAAGTTCCGTATAAAAGGGAATTGTTTAAGATCCAAGGGGATATCATTATGTAAGAAAATACAAACAGAAAAGGTGAGGTAGATAGGCACTCGCTTTGCGACTGTATTACCACCTTCTTCAATAGCGTGGGTTGGTTGATGATCCATTCCTGGGTCATCCCTGGAGGACGTACAAGTAGCTAAATGCCTAATATCAATTTCTCCTTTTTTTTAAGCGGGGTCTGTTTTTGCGATCATGAAACAGTTCAAATGGCAAGGACGTTTGTCAACCTTTGTAACAATTACATAGGATAAACCGGAAACAATGTTATTATTGCTAACAATTTCCTGAATTATGGACCACCAATGCGTGAATGATTACAGCTTTTGATACAGTTTCATGAGCAGACTCAAATGCACCGATTCCGATAGTAGTGACTAAAAGCCGGATTATTTATAGTCAGTACTAATTTATTCTAAATTCGTAGTTGGCAAACTGCTGGCGGATATGAAGCTCTGATACCCTCGTGTATTTGCCCTATATGCGCCACACACAGACGGCGTAAATGATCCAAAAGCAGACGTTAATGAACTAAATTAAAACGGCTGATGAGGAACTAACCATTCAGCAGTGCGTGTTCAGACTCAATGCCGTGATGTGCCGTTGAGAATTACTAAGAATTGTTAGCTGACCACCAATTATTGATCTTTGACCAGGGACGGACCAATCGGTTTCAATGCCTATTGCTGACTCGCATGCCTATTAATTTCAACAATAGCATCTCTCACAGTTGCGATTGCAAAATTACTCCCGCTGGAGTCCTATGATGGGTTGGCTGACAAATAATGAGCGACACACATAAATTCATTAACAATAGAATCGCCATCGTTATCTACAATGATCTTCGCCGTATAAGTAATTTATCAGTGATATCAAGACTTATCAAGATGATACTGGGCCAACAAATAAGAGACTACAGGATGTTTCACAACTTATCTGACAAATTTTAACCACATACAGGGTGTCCCAGAAGTCGACGTCAAGCCGAAACCGGGTGATAGGCAAAGTCATAACAGCTATCAGAAAAATATTTAAAAAAATTTATGTATGTGTTTTGAAAATTATAGGTCTTTGAAGAAAATATAGAAATTCCACACTCTACGGCAGTCTGTCAACTCCTGTTACTACAAATATTAACTTTTTTTGGATTTCATTTTTACAATTTAATGATGAATAATGCATCTTCAAACTGGTGTCTCAACCTTACTGCCAACTTTTCTCGTTCATGAAAAATTGCCACTTATTTCCCAACCAAGTATTCCAAAGTAAAACTTTGCTCAACTTTAACTGGCTGTACTGGACAAAAATGTACTACGAGAGTTTGGCAAGTAACCTTAAAAGTTGGCGCATTTAATAACCATTCCAAAATGGTATAACACTTAGAAGATTACTCGTTAACCTATGTACAATTTTTATTTGAAAAAAACTGATGAAAGTTTTTCAAAATTTCCTAATTAAACAGCGATTATGAAAACGCACAAGGACCCTTAAGGATAACTGTTTGCACAACAGTGGGCGTCAAAATGCTGCTGATGATGATTTACCTTTACAGCAAATGCTCAAACTGTTTTCCTTCAGCCGCAATACACGCTCGACAGCTTCTTAAAAAAGATCGGGTTATTAAACGAGCGAATCCACGGTTATTAACAAACTCAGCTGCTTCCAATAGTCTTTGCCGTAGCTCAGCTACATTTTGAATCGGCTTGAAATACACTTTTTCTTTTACAGTTTCCCAGTAAAACAATCTAAAGGATTCAAATCAGGTGATCGGGCTGGACACGGTATTGTACCAGACCGCCTTATCCATCTGCCTGGAAAGTTTTGATCGAGATACTCTCTCACTGAGAGTGCCTAGTGCGCTGGGCAGCCATCATGCTGAAACCACATGTCCCTGTAAATACTCAGTGGCACGTTCACCAATAAATTTTGTACATGATTTTTCAAAAAATCCAAATAAACTTCAGCAGTCAAACTCTCTGGGAACTCAAACGGACCGATTATTTTACCATTTAAAATTCCTGTCCAATGGTTTATCTTGAAGCGATATTGAGATTTATCTTCTCTCATCAAATGTGGGTTTGCTACGTGCCACTCGTGTAAGTTATGCAGGTTCATGTACCCATCTTTCTTAAATGTGGTCTCATCCGACCATAAAATTTTTTCAAAGAACTGTGGATCTTTCCTGTGTCTTTCTAACATTGTGCGACAAAAAGCAACTCGGGGCTCATAATCCCGGGGCAGGAGAGGTTGAACACGCTGTATGTGGTATGGATGAAGCACATCACTTACTTGCTATTGCACACTTTGATACCGATCAGTACTCCTTCGTTTACTGCGCATCTTTACATGTTCGTGCTTGTTGATTTCGTACTGTTACTAATTTTGGATTCGTGAACTGGACTGTTGATCGCTTGTGATTTGGATTTGGACTGTTTAATTGCTCTTCAAAACAACATTTGCTTTCCTTAGAATATCTTTGATAGTGTGATTGTGCAGTGCTGCTATGTCCGTGTACACCGTATAAGAATATGCTAACATGCACCTCATTTATGGGGAATGCAGATGCAACGCTAGTGCTGCAGCGAGACTTTACTGTGAGAGGTACCCGAATGCAGCTCGTCATCCAGATCATCGAGTGCTCACAAATGTGCACCGCTTACTGTTCTCAGAGGGCCAACTACCAAACCAATCACACAGTGAGGGAAGATCTTTCCTTCCTTACGAAGACGTGGTGCTAGGAGCTCTCGAAGAAGACCCGAGTACTTCAGTGCGTGCAATTGAACTAAAAACAGGTGTGCCCAAAAGTACAGCCCATAGAATCTTGCAAAAAAACGTTCTCCATCCATACCACGTACAGCGTGTTCAAGCTCTTCTGCCCCGGGATTATGAGCCCCGGGTTGCTTTTTGTCGCACAATGTTAGAAAGACACAGGGAAGATCCACGGTTCTTTGAAAACATTTTATGGTCAGATCAGACCACATTTAAGAAAGATGGGTACATGAACCTGCATAACTTACACGAGTGGCACGTAGCAAACCCACATTTGATGAGAGAAGATAAATCTCAATATCGCTTCAAGATAAACCATTGGACAGGAATTTTAAATGGTAAAAGAATCGGTCCGTTTGAGTTCCCAGAGACTTTGACTGCTGAGGTTTATTTAGGTTTTTTGCAAAATCATTTAGAAAATTTATTGGAGTACGTGCCACTGAGTATTTACAGGGACATGTGGTTTCAGCATGATGGCTGCCCAGCGCACTATGCACTCTCAGTGAGAGAGTATCTCGATCAAAACTTTCCAGGCAGATGGATATGGCGGTCTGGTACAATACCGTGGCCAGCCCGGTCACCAGATTTGAATCCGTTAGATTTTTTTTACTGGGGAACTGTAAAAGAAAAAGTGTATTTCAAGCCGATTCAAAATGTAGCTGAGCTACGGCAAAGACTATTGGAAGCAGCTGAGTTTGTTAATAACCGTGGATTCGCTCATTTAATAACCCGATCTTCTTTAAGAAGATGTCGAGCGTGTATTGCGGCAGAAGGAAAACAGTTTGAGCATTTGCTGTAAAGGTAAATCATCATCAGCAGCATTTTGACGCCCACTGTTGTGCAAACAGTTATCCTTAAGGGTCCTTGTGCGTTTTCATAATCGCTGTTTAATTAGGAAATTTTGAACAAATTTTCATCAGTTTTTTTTCAAATAAAAATTGTGCATAAGTTAACCAGTAATCTTCTAAGTGTTATACCATTTTGGAATCCCTATTAAATGCGCCAACTTTTAAGGTTACTTGCCAAACTCTCGTAGTACATTTTTTTCCAGTACAGCCAGTTAAAGTTGAGCAAAGTTTTACTTTGGAATACTTGGTTGGGAAATAAGTGGCTATTTTTCCTGAACGAGAAAAGTTGGCAGTAAGGTTGAGACACCAGTTTGAAGATGCATTATTCATCATTACATTGTAAAAATAAAATCCAAAAAAATTGGAAAATAAATATCTGTATTTTGTGTTCATCGTCGTGATATTAGAACACGCATTAATAATTTATTGTAGCAAATGTTGTACCAAACAGCTGACGAAGACAAAATACCAGCAATTTTTTGGTTTTTTGATACTGATAAGAACGCGTAAATAAGGTTTAATCTGTACCATGGGTGATCTGAATGAAGAATGGTCGATTTTTGTGAAGTCAAAAGTATTTAGCGAGTTAATGTTTTTAGTTATTTATTAATAAAAATGGCACATGTGTACACTAATGAGGAGTTAGTGGACATTGTTTTAGCGTACGGAGAATCAGGGCAAAATTCGGGAGCGGCTCCTCGTTTGTACGCACACCGATTTCCGAATAGACAAATACCATATCGCGAAACATTTAGTTCAATTGTTTTACGTGCAGGTGCTGGTGGAGATTTGCACCCCAGACGTATAATGGATGGGGGTCGAGTTCACCCACAACGCGTTTTAATTGGCGAAGACGAAATTTTGGATATTGTGGAAGAAAATCCGGAAATAAGCACAAGGCAGTTAGCCCAACAGGCCCCAGAAGTGTCAAATGCAACAGCGTGGCGCATATTGCATGAGGCCCAACTGTACCCTTATCACGTCGAGACAGTCCAGGCGGTGTTACCTACAGACTACCCCCTAAGAGTAAGAATAAAAAACTATTTTGAACATCTTTTATAAGTAAGTGAACTGCTAAACTGTATTATTTTATTATCTTGATTTCTGTAGGACTTTTATTACAGTTTTTTTGAGAAATCAACTTCTTTCGTAACAGTGCATATGTGCTTAAAATTTGTCGGATAAGTTGTGAAATACTCTGTATATAACTGAGTACAATTTGTTACCAGACTGTCAATCAGGATTGAGGAAGGGTTTCATTGCCATTAGTGGAACGTTTGATAGCTCCCAGCGCTTCAATGCACATGTATCTGTCACATTAAAATAATGCTACTTTGTTTTGAAACGATTTTACTGCAATAAGCATATTATGAATTTTAAAACACGGAAAAAATTATGTTAATCTTTTATATTCCCAATTATTGCTTATTGTATTACTATTTACTATCCATGTTTGGATGCTGCGTCCAAAAATAGGTTTAAAAAGTTCCAAAATAGCTTTTGCTGATTTATCTACAATCTTAAAAAATACGACTCAACGTCGGGAAAAATAATTGAGCTAAAATTTGAATAGACGATATGTATAGATACTCAGTTGCTACTATGACTTATAAAGGAAATTATTAATTCGTGAAGATAATATAATTCAATTGAAATGTACAATGACATAGCTGATAACCTAAAATCACTTCCTGTAGCTAACCTTACGGGTAAGAGGAGTGTGAAAAAGAGGTTATTTGGTTAGCAATGGTGCCTCGGATAATGATGGGAATTCTTGGTTTTTCTTTCACCTTTCTTTTTTTTGCTTAGTATCGGATTCATTGTGTTGATTGTTGCGTTGTCAATTAAAGCCAAGTATAGCTTTTGTTATCTCAAATCGCCCTAATGTTTTTTTTTAATTCACTATATTATTGTTAATCATTTTCCGAAAGGTTGAGTAGAGTAAATGTTTTCTAGACTCTGCCTTTCAAAGAGCACTCGGGGTTTCAGTTGTGAAATTGTACTGTTAAATCTAGCTGACATCCTCAAAGCAACTGATTCTGGAAAAAGACATTTAATAAACTAAATCATGAAATGTTGACAACGAGGGTGAATCAAATATGAACCAGATTTTTCTGATTAACGCGCCATAGGTGAATGGATTGGGGCGACATCTTAGTATATGTTGGGTGGGGATGTCAGGAAGAGGGAAGTAAGTCGGTCTGTAGATGAGCATTATGCCTGAGCTAGAGTTGCACATGTCTGTTGCGCAACGCATTATCGTAAAATTTTTGTCGCAGGAGTGCGTAAAACCTTCCGAAATTTTACATCGATTAACAGCACAGTTCGGCGATAAGTTTCAAGAACACGACTGGCAAAAAAAATGTCGATGGAGTGGCGAAAGCCTAGAGAGGCACCACCACGAAAAGCCAACACCAGTTTTTCTGCAGGAAAACTTCTTACAACGGCATTTTGGGATTCAAGAGGTGTGCTGCTAGTTGATTTTCTTCACGGTCGCCCTACAGTTGATGCTGCTTGCTACAGCCAACTGCTTAAAGAAGTGAAACTGGTCTATCAAACGCGAAACATGCCTATCCGAAGTGTCATTCTGACCCATGACAACGCTCCGCCACACACAGCTGCATTAACCCAAGAAAAATTACGCGAGATTCACTTGAATACACCGATTTGTCGCCATGTGACTTATGTTACTTGGAGAAGACCTGGGATGTCACCACTTTGACGACGCCAAAGGTGTGGAAACGTTCATGCACAATTGGCTACTGACACGATCAGCTTCATTCTTTGATAGGGGCATTAAAAAACTTACGATCCGATGGGAAAAATGCATCAATAAGAGAGGAGATTATGTAGAAAAATAAGATGTATATAAACTTGTATTTACTATACCAATAAAATTAATAAAACAAAAGTCCGGTTGGGGAGCTCGGTTGGCGAGTGTTGTGCTACTGATCAGCCGGCCGGCCGGGCCGCGAGTTCGAATCTCGCCTTCGGAAATCACACTTCGAAGTCATGGATGTTGTGACGTCGTGTGTTTGTCCATAATTAGAGATATACATACATATACAAGATTGGATCTGGCTAATAAAAAAAATAAAAAAGTCCGGTTCGTACTTGATTCACCTCGTAGTATTTTACACTACAGGGTGTCCGCAAAGTTGGGGTTTTCCTGTTCAGACACAACAACGCTTGATATAGCAAAGCTAATGTGTGGTGAAACGTGAGCAAACAAGTAGGTATGAAAAAATGAAAAAGTACTCACTGTTCAGTTGAATTGAAATTCCAAGTACGGCTCTGTCGTAAAATCCGTATTTAGATCGTAGTCGTGGCGCTGGCGCTGTGGTCGTGATCCAGGGATAGGACAGGACCGGTTTCGGTTTGGTTCAGGTTTGATTGAGTTTGCAAAGCCCAATATCTCGGTTCTCTTAAGACATTGTAGTTTATGCTACTAAGAAAATCCACTTATTTTCTCAAAATCCACCCGTCGTATAAAGGAAAACCCAAACCTTGCGGACACCCTGTAGATAGGGTTTTCTGCTATCGCTGTTATGTGCTTATATTTAACTAACAGAACATAATACGTAGAAACAGGTAAAGGGAATTCCTCCTCATCAAACCTCTTATTTTTGTATACCTTTCTCGTACAACATGTATCGGCTTTATAATCAAATTCCTAACGACTAGAAAATTCTGCATTCAAAGCACTTCATGACACACTAATGTAAACGAGACACAAGCGATTAAACTAATGAACCTTTTTTGTTCCATCACTTTTTTTGGGGGCTTTCTAAGGTAGATCTTTTTTTTTATAAATGTTTAAATGCTGTCGGGCTGAACATAGATCACTTACAAATTATTTGAGAGGTAAGATTATATTTAGTCATGAAGTTCATAGCAGGAGCATATGAGACTGTAAAATAATCACAATACCGCCTCACTCTATGACACTTTTTAAGCGTTGTTTTTCGTATAATGCTGCCATACTTTACAATGCTTTACCAGGTAAATACAAGGAAATGTCTCCTGCCAATTTCCGTAAACAAATAAAACAATTTGTATTTACCCTTACCTGATATTGGTGCAGTATCTTTTCTTATGTATATATGTATCTAAATATTATAGGTGTGTATAGGTGTATATATGTATATATGTGTATATGTATGTATGTGTATATATATACATATATATATGTGTATATATGTGTATCTGTATGTATGTGTATATATATATGTATGTATCCATGTACATACTGTATATAGTTTTGTATTTTAGTTTATAGTATATAGTTATAACTATAATTTTTAGGCAACGCACATTACATCGTGCTCTAAATGTACTGACAAAGATAGTTCAGTGTAAGAGTAGCCTAGGCTAAACTTCGCTATCTTTGTCCCTCACCTGTACAACAAATAAAGGCGTTATTATTATTATTAAATGCTCTCAGTCCTTTTTGCAACATATTTCATTTATGTATTTTGCTGCAGAAATCAAAAACAAACACTTGCAAATTGGCATTTTGCAAACCCTCGTTTACACTTTTTCCATACCTGTACATCAGTCATGAGTTGAGGTCTCCATCTGAGTGCCGAAGTAACAAGTCTCGAGTGATTGAGACTGAGATAGTACGAAACATCAGACACTGTTCTATCATCATAATGTCTCCACATGTTGAATCGCACGTTTCTTGCATCCGGTATGTTGCCATAAGTGTGCATGCTTTGACTTCCATCTGTAATGTTAATTTTTGTGATACGGTCCTGGCTTAGTCAGAGCCCAAACTTAGGGCCGTATCGTCAGTCGTTCCTACAATAACACTGATAAGCACAGGATTTGTGACATGACAATTTTTGAGTGTATCGTATGTATTTTTAGACCCTTAAATCAAATATAATAACAGAATTTTTCACCCACAGATATGCGGTAACATCTACTTTTATGAATTACATTACGTAACATCTCATATTGCTGCATTTCTCGGCGTTTATGCGATGACGTACATATTTAATGTTAAAACCTGTCTATTCCTGTTTATTATATGCGAGCTCTATGTTTAGAGAGCATATTTGTAGACTAATAGCAGCCGAGTAAGTTACGTTTTTCTTGTTGAAGGGTACTGAGATGTTCTGAGTACTGTTAATTTATGTTAAATAGGTGTGTTGTTTTTAGTCTATTGTGATCGAGACTAGCTTTATGGACAATGCCTAGAAATTGTGTAAATAGTGCGAACAGTTTTTTTTATGTGTGCGGAGAGCTAACTTTTAAATCCCAAAAACGTACTTTTACTCCCCTTGTGTTGAAAGCATACGAACTTTATTTTGGAATTAAAGTTGGCGACCAAGATAAACTATGGGCCCCTCATATATGTTGTAAGACTTGTGTAACTTTGTTAGCAGGTTGGTTAAGAGGCGACAATCGTAAAATTCCCTTTGCGGTACCAATGGTTTGGAGAGAACCGAGAAACCGTACTACTGATTGCTATTTTTGCCTCACAAATATTAAAGGTATTGGACCATAATCGAAACATACTGTTAAGTATTTTTGTTTACCATCAGCTTTGCGGCGCGTTAAGCATAGTGATGAACATTCTGTCCCAGTTGCACCAGAATCTTGGTCTTTGGATTAAAAAGTCGAATCCACCGATTCTGAAAGTGATGGTACAGAAAGCGTACAAATTTTCGATGCTTCGTTTTATCTGCCAGGATGTCCAACAGCGCCGCATTTGATCACACAGGGCGAACTTAATGACTTATTTCGAGAATTAAATCTGTCGAATTCCCAGTCGGAGCTTTTAGCGTCAAGATTAAAAGGATGGAATCTTCTCCACTGTGATGTTAACATTACTTTTTTACAGAAAACGACCTCATACACTATTTTCGTCAAAAAAGGGAGTTATATTACTCCGGTGTCAACAATTTGTTTGACATGTTAGGACAGAAACGTTTTACATAATAACCACCTTATTTTGTCCATGTCACAAAAAATTATTTTGATTTTGTTCACCAGTGTAATTGTCGGACGCCTTTATGGTCTCCTTGATTTTCATAGTTTTCTACTGTTCCGTGTCAGCGCGCCATTTTGAGGTTATGGTACAAAATCTATTTGCATCAAATTGTTCATGCTGTTGATTCATGTCGTCTGTTATATCAGCCTGAAATTTCCTACAATTCAAAAAGAAAACGTGGCCTCTTACATTAGGAGAGCTCTGACACTCACACGGAGCAAAAGAAATCTAGAAATAAACCAGCCTTTCTGCAGGAGAGAAAATACTATGAAAATCGAGGAGGCCATAAAGGCGTGCTACAATTGTAGAAGCGACTGACGATACAGCTCTCAGTGACTGGTTAGATCGAATCAAACGATGTCAAACATTACACACAATGGACTTTGGGTAAGTACGTCGGTCGCTCCAAGAGAGACTCCGGCAAAGTGCAATACTCGGCCTTCAGACAGTTTGCAATATAGCCAGTCACTTCTAGATTCAGTTGAACGTCGGATTAAAGCACAAGGCACAGTGTCGCAACAAACTTTCAAAAAAAAACTATTTATGGGCTATCATACATGATACCTGGGGACAATTACATAAAATACTATAGGGTCAAGTGGTGCAAAAACAAGACATTAAATTTTTCCCAATGCAAAAAAACAATAACATTGTAAAAAATACGTTACAAATTACTTCCACATATATACAATTGAAATATGTAATGAATAATGAATACACGTAAACAAAAACATCGAGAAAAAAACTATCGCATCTGACTGTGCATTTTGCTTAAAAAATCTTTTAAATTGTATTCACAAACTTTTCCTGTTGCGCCGCGGTACGTGATCGTAGAGATTCGGCAAGTATCGCGTTTTCAAAATAACAGATGCGGCTATGATATTCCATATCGAATTTCGTCTATTTTTATTTGTTGGCAAGCAGGCACGTCGTGAATAACAGGTGCAAAAACGAGACACCACAAAGTTTAAAAACAAGACACATGCCAGGTAAAAAACAAGACCGCTTTTATACCTTTGATAATAATGCCGAAGGCTTACGTTCCCAAAAAGCGCCCCTACGACAAAAAGTACATGGAAACAGCCCTAAAGCTAACAGATAAGGGCACTTTATCCCTTAGAAATGCAGCTAAACAGTTTAAAATTGACAAATCTGCTTTTTCGAGAAGACGTACTCGTTCACTTGGTAAACAGGGAAGAAAAACTTCTCTAACCAAAGAAATGGAAGTAGACTTAAGTGAGAAGATGAAAATTATGGCAAAATGGGGGTTTGCTTTCACTAAACCAGAGATACAAGCAATAGTTCAAACCTATGTGCAAGAAAACCACCTTACTACCCAGTTTAAGGAAGGAAAGCCAGGGAAAGATTGGTTTAAAAATTTTTGTAAGCGCAATAGACTAAGTCAAAAAAAGCTTGAGCAACTGGAAAGATGCAGAAGGACAGCTACAAGTGATCCATTCATCATCTTCGGCTTTTACGATCGCCTGAATACTTGCGTATCTGATTTGAAATTGCAAGACAAGCCTAGACACATTTGGAATTTAGACGAGACCAGTTTTTCTTCCGACCCAACCAGAATAAAAGGCGTTGCTGGTATTGGTCAGAAAGTTCAGCGGAACATAGAGGGGTCAGGAAAGGAAGATACCACCATAATGGCCTGCATTTCAGCAAGTGGTACTTTGTTACCTCCTCTAATAATTTTCCAAGGGCAAAATTTATTTTGATTAACTGGCAAAGACTTAATCAGAGAAAACCCTCTAGAAGTGAATTTAGTGATTTGATTTGCAGCATTTGGAATGAAGGTTTATCTGCAGAAATTATTAAATCTTCGTTTGAAAAGGTTGGGATATTTCCATGCGATAAGAACAGATATCCAGAAGATCGCTTAGATCCTGCAAAGCTACTTAGATATAAAGAACATGGGGTGTTTGAAAATCTGCTTGATATTTTCGAAGACTGCGATGAAGAAACTCCACTACCGCAAACCGAACAGTTTATTGAATCTGTTCCAGATCAATCTAACGGTGCTTCTTCCAGGCCATCTAGCTCCTTTGAATCGTTACTTCTGGAGAAAATTCGAAGAACTCCAAACATAACAGCAAGAAAAAGAAAAATAGGCTCTATGCAAAAAGTCCTAACAACAGAAGAATATTTAAAGGAAATACAGGAGAAAGAACAAAATAAGAAAAGTCATAAAGGTGTGAAATCTACAAAATCAAAAAAGAAGGTATTACTGAAGATGAATGTGATGACAACCAATCAGAAAACAAACCATGAAATTACGGAAGCATATGAACTTAGGGAAAATGAATTTATCCTAACTAAATTTAATACTAAAAATACGCAAGTTTACTACGTGGCAAAAATCCTTAAAGTTTTTGAGAGCGATGTAGAAGTAAAATATCTGAGGCGCAAAGGATTTAAATTTATTTTTCCGGCCATTGAGGAAAAGTACTTTATCGACAAAAGTGACATAGAAATGAAACTTCTTCAGCCAGAAATAGAAAGTAAGACCTGTCGTATCTCTCAGCAATATTGGTTTCCTATCGACTTTGAAAAATACGTCGTTCAATAGCATGTAGTACAAAATACGTTAGAATAATAAGCTTTCTACTTTAGCTCTTAAAATCCTATTGAAAATCTTGTTTTACCCCTTTTTTGAAATAGATATGGTTTATTTAACTTATTTTTGGATTTGTTTTCTTTTTAGTTTAATTAACATAGTTTTGTATTTAATTATGTGAGTTTTCTTTCAGAACGTTGTAAAAATTTAAAACCTAACTATGTTATTTGACTTACTAAACGCTTTAAAACCCTTGCAGTGTGTCTCTTTTTTATTCCCCAGGGTCTCATATTTTGCCACACTGATGTAAAATGACTAAAAGGCCAGAAAATACAGTGTCTTGTTTTTAGCCTAAATAGTGGTTAAAAACGAGGCACGGTTTTTTATCAAAAACGACCTTCATTATGAATATTATGAATTTTTTTTAACGTGAGGTATATATACTACATGGCTTCCTATATACAGGGCAATATAGCAAAGCCTTAAAGTCCGGTTTTTTGTTGAGAAAAAATTAAAAGATTTAAAAATCGTCTCGTTTTTGCACCACTTGACCCTACTATACAATAATACAGGCTGCCCTAATTTGGACCCACATATTAAGCTTGTTCCTTTTTCAAATGGAATTCCCTTTTTAATACGCTTTCATTAGCTTGGCCTGTATGTATGTACCGGAATCTTTGAGCATAATTTTCACCAATTTCCAGAAGTTTAATTGATTTGAAACTTCGCACACGTATCAAGGACCGATGACAATCCAATAATTTGATAACACTTTTCCATTACCCTTATTAAGACCGCCAGGATTGATAAATTTCGTTTTCATGGACAGTGCGATTTTGGTTAGTCATAGTGTGCAATTTACGGATAATTCAAACACTTCATAAAAAAGACCATTGACCTTATACCAGGGACAAGCTTGTGAAAGGTGGAATTCAAATATGCTAGAATATACAAGCAATTCCATTTTTTTATAAAAAGTACGTTTCTGACCACCCTGTATTAATCGTTCAAAAGTGAAGAAATAGTTTTGAAATTGAGGATAATAAGACAATTTTGTCACATGAGAATCCCAAAGAAATTTTTCAATCCAATTTTTGAACTGCCTAAGGTTAGTAGAACAATTTCGACACCCTCGGAACAAAGGAACGGTCGTATCGGCCAGTTCTTGATGTATGAAATTCGACACGGTTAGGATGGGAGACCGAAGTCAGACGAGTCTGTCTGGCAGGCACATCACGCGAAGCTCTGAAGAGCAAAGCCTGTTGGTATAGCGGTAGAAGAGATCTATATCGACGAAGGCCCGCCGCTGCGAAAGGGTCCCGAGACTGTCTGTTACAGAAGAGTCATCGATCAGTCGGGCAGCCCTCCTCTGGACACAGCATAAACAATGTAGTCGGAGCGACAGCACTCCACGCGTGTGAGCAATACTCGAGGCTAGGTCATGCGAAGAAAAGTACTGCTCAACCTTAAAAAAACAGCCTAGCTTTCCAGCAACTGCCGCTATTGACGACACGTCTTCGTGCCAGATCAAGTCATCGGTAATCTGGACTCCGACCAGCCGAAATGAACGGCTCTTTGGCAGAACTCGGCCATAAATCGGAACCGGATGAACTCTAGGGCGCTTTTTGTTCGTCAAGGTACACTTTATTTTAGAAGCATTACACTGCACAAGATTGTTTTGCGTCCCCAAACAGTGATAGCCTCATTGTCTCTCGTCAGAGAAGAAGTCGCCGTTCGTCTTCTTTTTTTTCAGCTTCTGGGGGCTGTCAAGCTTAAGTGTTTTTTCAAATAGAATACCAATAGCTCAACAACTAATAACCAGAACCTTACACGAATATTCTTCTTTTGAAAGACCCTCTCGGAATATAAAATGAAAATGGGACATTCGATTAAAAAAAAACTGATATGTGAATAAAAATTGGGACGCCCTGGATCATTGTATTTCATAAATATGTCCTCGGATACCATGAAGAATAATCCATACATAGTTTTTTTTCTGAAAAGTTCATGTTCTGAAGGATGGGACACCCTGCACTATATCTCTACTATAATGTTATTAATAGTATCGTGCAGATCCTTGCAACCCCTTGCATGCCAGTGGCAGCATACAGGGTGGCCCATCCATGTGTGGACGAAATATTACTCATAAACAAATACATTTTGGAAAAATATATTTATGGCATGATATACATGAGATTTGAGGGCACATTTCTAAAATATTCGCAATTATATAAGGTGTCCCAATTTTGACCTACATATCAAAGTTGTGATTTTTTAAATGGAATGCCTCAAATTTTACTGCATATTTAGATAAACCAATTTAAAAGAAGACTGATATAACATACTATGGGGTTTTGGAAATTAGCTACTGAGATGTAAGGTGTTTTGTCTAGAAAAACCGTCCACTTCGGCAACCCCTCAATCCGCAATTTTGAAATTTGGAGTACCGAATTGTGTATCAAAAAAAACTTACACATCTCGGCTTTTATCTGGTTTGTTACTTTTTCGAATTTTAATTTTTGCTCATACAGGGTGGTCAAAAACGCGAATTGTACTTTTTATCAAAGATTTCAAATGTATCACCCTGTATATTTGTGCAAGTTTGGATTCAACTTTTTATAAGCTTTTTTTGGTATAAGGTTTGATTCAGATAAAATCACTAAATTTTGAGTTATTAAGCTTTTAATAGAACAACACACCAAAATTAAGGGAAAAGATCACATCATCCATGGACACAAAAAACAAACAGTGGGCTAGTTATATATTGCCACTAAGAATACAGATTTGACGTAAAAACTAATAACAATCAGAACAGTATAAATCAGCTTCAAGCGTAATAGAGAAAAACAACTATAAAAACAACATAAACAAACAACTATCACTACTCAAGACCTAATTTACAAAAACATACACCATATTCACCATTTCGTCTTTATAAAAATTCATTTTCAAACAAGTTTTTACTATAATGCTCACAAAGCTAATTTTGACAGTTTGTAACTAATCAACAATTTATTTGTTTCCAAGGATGCGATGCGATGCGATATTTTAGGGAATTAAGCCGTTCCATAAAAGACGTGCTAATAACCGAAAAAATAGTCGTAAAACCCCTTATGTGTCAGTATCAGAAAAAAGCTTATAAAAAATTGAATCCACACCTGCACAAATATACAGGGTGGTGTATTTGAAATTTTTGAGAAAAACTACAATTTGCGTTTTTGACCACTCTGTATGAGCAAAAATTAAAATTCGAAAAAGTAACAAATACGATAAAAGCTGAGGTGTGTAAGTTTTTTTTATATTAAATTCAGCACTCCAAATTTCAAAATAGCGGACTGAGGGGCTGCCGAAGTGGGGGGTTTTTCTAGACAAGACACCTTATTTATCAGTAGCTAATTACCAAAACCTCATAGTATGTTATATCAATTTTCTTGTTTTAAACTGTTTTATCCAAATATGCAATAAAATTTGAGGCATTCCATTTGAAAAACCACAACTTTTATAATGGCCAATATTTTAGAAATGTGCCCTCAAATGTCATGCATAACATCCCATAAATAGTTTTTCCCAAAATGTATTTGTTTATGAGTAATATTCCGTCCACACATGGTGGGGTCGCCCTGTACATATTTTGTAGGCAAAAAAATTACACTATCGAAGTCAACGCTCATGATCAACATATTCTACACCACTGCGACTGCTTGATTGTTGGTCGACGCTCAATTTCCTACTACTCCTACCATAGCTTAAATGCCAATCAGCTATGGAACTGGAGAAAGTCGAATGTAAATTCCCTCAGTACAAATATGAAAGAATTTTTAGTGCTCAGGAGCAGCCGGTACACTATAACATGGCGAAATATGATCATTTTAAGATTGTAAAGAATACGAGGGATGTCTTTTAAGTTTTGCATATAGAAACATAGTCAGCCGCGCGGATCGAACGACAGTACTGAATTTTAACCTCACTCTTTAGTAAACTTAAATTCAAAGTTTCACAACAATACGTGCAGTGTTCTCACTACAGTGAATTTTTAAGTGTCACCAAGTCATTAGAAAAATGCCTTGCTGAGTTACTGTCAGTTTTCGGCAACAAAGCGCCACATCAGTTTACAATTTCCCGTTGATATCGAGAATTCAAACGTGGACGGGTGAGTCTTAGCGACGATCTCAGGGTGGGTGCACCAAAAGATCTCAAATCCTCAATTCAAACAATGTTACATAAATAATTAGGAGTAAGAAAATTAGTTTCTCGTTGGATACCCCAGCTGTTGACTGAAGAGCAGAAAGCAGCCAGGGTTAATTGGTGTCAAAAAACGCTTGACCCTTTCAATTCCGGAAACTCGAAAAATGTGTATAGCATTGTTAGTGGTGATGAATCGTGGATTCACTGTTATGAACCAGAAAATAAACGACAGTCGGCTGTATGGGTGTTCCAAGGCGAATAAAAGTTGGCAAAAGTCACTCGTTCTCGAAGTGTTTCGAAAAAGATGGTCGCGACATTTGTGTCAAAAGCGGGTCATATTGCAAAAATTCCTCTTAATGAGCAAATAACTGTTACTGCGGATTGGTATACCACCATTTGTTTGCCAAAATTTATCACCGAGCTTCGAAAAATCAACCCCGAAAGAAGAATCATCCTCCACCAAGACAATGCAAGCTCGCACACAGCCCAAAAAACAAGGCAGTATTTAACAGAAGAAAACGTGGAATTATTGGATCATGCTCCATATGGTCCGGATCTAAGTCCTAACGATTTCTTTACTTTCCCGAAAATTAAAAACGGACTGCGTGGTCAAAGGTTCCAGTCACCAGAGCAGATGACGCACTTCAAAAATGCCGTTTTGGATCTGCCAGCAAATGAATGGAATAAGTGCTTCAAAAATTGTTTCGAGCGCATGCAGATGTGCATTAATCTTCGTGGAGAATACTTCGAAAAACAATAAAGTCATTTAAAACTACCTATTTCCATATGCAAAACTTAAAAGACGTCCCTCGTATGTGCGGCCGCTAGCATTAAAACCTCTTTCATCATTGTACCGGGGGAATTTACATTCGACTTTCTCCGCCGAAATGGCGGCCGTCTTTGACACTGACAGGAGAGTTTCATAGCTGATTGTTACCTAAGCTGTGCTTCTACAATAGTCAGTGTTGCCGCGAGTATAATTCACTATGGTATTAATAGCTCACCTTCTGTCATATTGACGTTCATGTACAAGAGCTTCTCGTTGAAATTAGCATAGAATTCTCCTCTGCTGTGATTTGACTCATGTACAGACGTCATATTAGCGGTATAAAGTGGATAACATCCCGCATATCTCCCCCAAAAGTAGAATAGTCCACTGGCAAGGTTGTCTTTCTGAAATTCCGTTGCAAAAGGGAACAATTTAGTAGTCGATTACAACTTTTAGCAAGTGGTAAATTTGTATGCAGACTGTATACGCTTGATTTACATAATATCTCCGGTGTGAGGGAGATACAGAAATTGACCTCCCGAATAGAGATGGGACAAGCAACCCTTTCGGGTGCTTTAATTGCTTTCTCGAAGCAAGGCATTTGGGGTTTTTACAATTTTACTTATACGCCACTGGCGAGTAAATATTGTAATCGCGAAACGTTTATAAAATAAAATGTTTTTTGGTGTTAAACATAAAACCGAGAAGTTATAAGACTTAAAAGATTTACGTTTCGGAAATTGTTTCAAAAGAAATTTAAAAAAGTGGCTACATTCTATATCTAGGACTGAAATTCATAAACTCATAAATACGAACATCAACTAAATACATAATTTACTGTAGCTAATTTTTGTCCTTTTTTGTCATTTGCATTCTACAGTTTCAACTTAAATTTATTGGTCCATGTACAGGCGATGCCTTCTATTGGACCTGTTTTGATTTTATATTTATTTACTCATATTTTTTGTTATCTTTGTACATTGAGTGAATAAATATTATTATTATTATTATTATTATTATTATTATATGCACTGGGATTTCGAGGTAGTTTCTTAAACTCCTTTAAATCATCGAAAATTTTTGGTGAAGGTCGAAGATAACATCACGGAAACATATGGCATTTGTCTTGGCGTCCCTCAAGGTTCAATTTTGGGACCGCTTATATTTGTGTTATTTATCAACGATTCAACATCATATATCATCTCAAATTGTTCAGTGCTCTAAGCAGATGGTATCATCATTACAGTAGCTGCGGTATCTCTAGAAAAAATTGATCAGAAGATTAATGTAATTGCTGCTGAATTTACGTCTTGATATAGGAACAACTTCATAATTGTAAATGCCAGTAAGACAATAGCGATGCAGGTTTGTGCTGGGTCAGGATCTAACAGGAGCAATTACAGTTGTATTTATTTTATAGTATGTGACTTTATATTGACAATGACATGAGATGGAGAACTAACATCGATGATCTGAGCAAAAAACTAAGCAGAAGTCATTACTGAGAAGTTGTTTCAAAGCCTTGCAACATTTGAATAACTATTTGACAATTGTATATCCGCATATATCGTATCGATATGATATGGGAAAAACAAAGTTTTGGAAGCAGTTAGGCTTTTTGGGATACTGTGTCAGAAACTGTATACCGTTTTTATAAGGAGTGAGCTGGATTATGGAGGAATTATTTGGTCTCCGTTCTATCAGAATGCTACTTCAGCAGTTGAATCGGTCCAGCATGAAAGTTTGAAATATACAGTGTGTCCTGGATTCGCTTCTCTATTCAGTGATCTCGGCTTCTGTTATAACTGCAGCAAATGTTAAATGGACATAGGTTTAAAGAAAACTTAGTGCATTCGATAGACGGCGTCAGATTTACGATCGGTCAATTGGTTTTGGAGGCATCGGCGGAAAACCGAATATGTCGAATTATGTTTAGCGTGCACGAAGTGTCTCAATCGTCTTTAGTTTTCCCACAACCTGCCTTAACTTTCATTTTTCTCATGGCCGCCAAATTGGATTTTTCGATTTTTGAAAAGAGTGTAGAATTTCCAGCCTGTGATGTCTCACAAGTACACACAAAAATGGAGTATCATTGAAATTTCATCACACCTAATGTTATGTATTTTTTCTAACTTCATAACTTATTTGTCAGAAAATAAAATTACTCTCTCATTTGCCTCAAAAAAATGTCCGAATAATGTCACATTTTGACAGCTGTTAAATTAACCGTTTCGGATATACTGCCAAAAAACAAAAATCGATATTTTCTGTTTTTCGACGAGTTTTCCAAAACCAATTGACCGATCGTAAATCTGAAGCTGGCTATCGAATGCACTAAGTTTCCTCTAAAACTTCCCCCATTTAACCTTTGCTGTAGGTATAACAGGAGCTGAGATCCAGGTATACAGGGTGTTTCAGAACTACGGGATCAAGCTTCTAGGGGTTATTCAGTGTAACAGTACACATTTGAGTATAAGGACCCGTATAAGGACCCATATCCGGAAAAGTGTCTCTACGGCACTACGCCCCTAAGACGTGTTAAAATTTAGAAAGACGATGAATTGCCTAAATAGGATTTAATGCATTTAATCTTTTATACATGATATCATCACAACAATTGTTTAAAATGTCTTTCTCCAACCTGAATACACCGATTTAAACGTCGCACATGATTTCAGCGGACTTGACTAAAAACTTGATACTCGTTATGAATGATTTCAAATGCTGCTGTAATTCGTCCAATTGAGTCTTGCTCTGTTTCTACTGGAGTTTCGTAAAGACTTTACATGTCCCCACAGGAACGGTGTATTCAGGTTGGAGGAAGACATTTTGAACAATTGTTGTGATGATATCATGTACAAAAGGCAAAAATTAAATGCATCATATCCTATTTAGGTAATTCATCTTCTGAATTTTGACGCATCTTAGGACTGTAGTGCCGTAGTGACACCTTTCCGGATATGGGTCCCTATACTCAAATGTTTTCTACTGTCAGTCTTTTGAGTGTTTTGTCAAATATCCTGGAGAAAATCATTTATTTGCAAATCTTAGATTTTTTATAGTCAAGTGACATACTCCCAGTACATCAGTCTGGGTTTAGAAAATCATACAGTACTACAACTGCTCTTCTTAATTTAGTGGACAACATCATCAGGGCTCTTGATAAAAAAATGTGTGTCGTCTTAGTTTCACTGGATTTCTCCAAGGCCTTTGATAGAATTGATCACGCGCACTAAAATTTTATGGCTTTGATAAAATAGCACTGCAGTTTTTTAAATCATACCTAACCCACCGTTCTCAGCGCGTCTCACTTTCTGGAATTTTGTCAAATGAGCACTTTATCACTTCGGGTGTGCCTCAGGGCTCAATTTTAGGACCCTTGTTATTTTTAATTTATGTAGCCGTTATTGCTAAGTCCATTCAAAATTCACAGCTACAGTCTTATGCGGATGACACTCAACTGCTTTACGTCTTTTATCCTGAGAACCTCCAGACTGCTACTATGGAAATTAACGAGGACATTGACTCTGTTTGCACCTACTCAGCCAATAACAGCCTAACCGTTAATGCTTCTAAATCTTCTGCTGTGCTGTTTTGTCCAAATCACAGAAGAACCGAAGTCAAAGCGTCCTTGAGTATATCTATATATTAACAATCAAAATCTTCCTTTTTCTGAAAGTGTCAAGTGTCTAAGTGTGTTTATTGATGAAAACGTGCGGCTTCGTGAACATTTAAATAACAAAGAAGTTACATCCATCTGAGACCTCTGTATACGCAGAAAAATTAAGGTGCGAAAAAAGTTGTGTGAATCTTTTGTGTTATCTATTTTTAATTATTGCAATCTAGTTTATGATCCTTGTTTGGATGTTGCAAGTCGTAACAGAATATCTGTAGTACAAAATAACTGCGTTCGATTCATATTTAGTTTAAGAAAATTTGATCATGTTTCGGATCGTTATCCTTTAACAGGTTGGTTAAAGATGACAGATTTAGTTAAATGCAATTATCTAACCTTTATACATAAGTTACTTGTCTCTGGAACTCCAATTTATTTACGTGAAAAACTAATTTTTAGGTATAATGTTCATCAACGACATATCCGTAACACATTCGCTTTAACAATGTCACTTCATAGTTCATCTGTTTTTAACAGGTCCTTCTCAAATAATGCATGCATGTTCTACAATAGCTCAGATTACAGAACAAAAAGCCTGCCGCTGTTTAGTTTTAAAAAACACTTAAAAGCTCTTCTGCTCAATGGTGCTTCTTAAAGGTGTTTTTCTCCAGCATTATATTTTAAGCTAATTTTTATTTAGATTGTGATCAGTTACATGGGCATTTTCCTCCTTTTATTTTCTTTACATCTATACTTTTTTACCATCTACTATTCTTATGCAGTAAATGGTTAAGTGATAATATATGCATTATCTGTAATTTGTTTTTTTTTTCTAATAAAAGACGGTTTATTATTATATATCATTATTACACTGAATAACCCCTACAAGTACACTGTATGCGCTACAAAGCTCATGGTTTTTATCCTGAAAGAGGTTTTTTCCTTGAAAGGCTGATCTTTGACACTCTAGTTTACCGCCGCTATAATACGGGTATTACAACTCTGTATAATATAGGTAATAATGGATTAGAGGGTCCAGACTTACTAGTCAAATTTTTGTGGTATTTACCTCAAACTACGAGTATACCTGTTTGAAAAGTTACCTTGAGTTCGATTTCGTTATTATCCATGTCCACCCTAGCCAGCAGCTCAGCTGTAGATGTTGGCAGATAAGACCTCTGATAGCTCGTGAAATGACTAGTTCCAAAATCGCTAGGGCTCCAGTAGAACGACCCATCCGAGTTCAAATTCAAATTTGTAGCATTGTGCTGTGCCCAGAGATTGTATGTGTAGTTGAATGTCAGGCGGTTTGAATTATCGCCGATTTTTCCACCTAGCGTTAGCCTTTGATCTGGGTTTAATGAGTAGTCTACCACCAGCTGTCCATCGATTACAGATTTGTTGTAACCATACTCGCTGTAGAACGAGACATCCTATAAATAGAGAAAGTGTGATTAGTAGGCCCTGTTACAATGCATTATAAAGCATCGCGCATGGGATACACGCGATTTTGGTAGGAACTTTATGAAGTATAGCTTTCGGATAATTTTTTTCAAAGTAACTTTCGAGATACAGGGTCTAGCATTCCGTACACTATTGTGCGTTCTGTAGACAATATGTAACAGCTGTTCGATATATATTTACATCATTATTGTCATCACTTGCATATATTTTTTCCCATCAGCTGGCGCAGTTCTGGATGTACGCAGTTCGACAAGGTTAGGATGAGAGGCCGAGAGTGAGGAGGTAAGCCAGTTGGTGTAGCGGTAGAAGACAGCTAGATCGCTGTGCTGTGCGAGGCATTAAACTGTACAAGATTGCTGCGTCCCCTAGATAACCTTCAGGTTTCTCTTCAGAAGGAAGTGGGTTTTAGTCTTGCTTTTTCCAGCTCACCGGCAGAGATCGGTTTGTCGCTCTGAATCCCTGCATGTAGAGTGCTATCATCATGGAGACTGTTGATATGTAACAGGAGAAGACCGATGTTCGGGGAATACCCGCGTTGACGTTGTCGGATGAATAGGAGAACCCGTCAATTACGATGGATACCTTGCGGCCAGAGAGAAAGTCAGCCACCCAGAGAGTATTAACTTGACTTTGAAACGCCCTTAAAGGTCATAGTCAAGGTTAGATACCATCATTTAGTCCCCTCGAAGCCCAAGAACTTTTGTTTGAATCTTTTTTACAAGAATGCCAAGTTTTTGGAATATTTACGTGGGCAGTGTGAAATTGCACACCCTGTATACAGGAATTCACGTATTATCGCTTAGTCATCTCTCAGCATCCAAAGTAGAAGTTGAATAGCCTGACATGAGTATGTCGAAGATATATATCGTTCAAGTTTCAAGAGCAAATTATGTACGATATATGTCAAATACAATTGTAGGACGCCTTTATGGCCTCCTTGATTTTCATACTCTTTTCTCTCCTTCAGAAACGCTGGGGCATTGCTACATTTCTATTGTTCCGTGTCAGCGTCTGCGCTCTCCTATTGTGAGGCTACGTTTTATTTTTGAATTGTCGGAAAAGCATGAACAATTTTATGCCATTAGATATTTGTAACATAACCTCAAAGTATAGCCGTGGCATGGAACAGTAGAAAACTATGACAATCTAGGAGGCCATAAAGGCGTCCGACAATTGTAGGAATGACTGACGATGCGGCCCTTAGAGTTACTTGCATTGGAAACGTATAAATAGTTCGCACCAAAAAAATTGACATACATATATCCTCTTCTACTACTACAAGCCCCAATATCTAATTTTTAACCCCTGCAAAAAATTATTCTGAAAATGATTAGGATCTTCTGACAGACTACATGTTCTCCTGTCTCCGCTCCAAGCCTGGCGCCTCCAGTGTTGCCAGATCGAATGCTACCTTGCTAGTCTGATCACTTAAATTACAGACCTCGTTACTTCCAAAAGACATAATATCCCATTTTCGCAATTTTTCGCGATCACAGTACTTCCACGAAGCAAAAATGTAAATTCTATTGTGTCTGTTGAAAGCATGTGTCGAGCAGGATTTCTCCTGCATTAACATTATGTATGGATAGTACAGATTTAAACTACCTAGAGCCACTATTTTATAAAAACTTTATTTTTTGCATTCTATATGCTTTTGAAGGACTGACATGTTATTCTGAGGCACAGTGTATACGTTACCCTTTCGAAGGATGGATGCTTGATCTGGAACAACAATTGCTCCCTCCGATATGGTTTGCGTCTCCAATCTAGTCCAGCCTGAACAGATTTGTTATCCTTGTCCCACACTAATGACATGTCCGTAGATATGATGGAATCGCTGATATTGTAGAAACCTTGTCCCGTGAAAATACGCTTCGGATAGATGACACTAATCACAATTTGCTGAGCATCAAATATCTCGTCCTGCAAAATTAAGAGCACTGTTGCAAGGTAGCTAGGGCAGCATTTTTTAAGTAGATGCTCAAACATATTATATTTTTAAAACGCATCTTGAAAAAGGCTCATATTTTAATTTTTATTATGCAAGGTGAGTCATTAAGTAAAAAAAGCTAAAAAACCCAGATACATCATTGGGCGGTTAAGTCTCTTTGCCAAATCTTCAAATATAAAGATTTGTAGTCGACAACTTGAATTGATTATAATGCGATTTTAAATGAGATTCATTATTTACCCGCGTTTTGTTGATGAGGCTGACGTCATACTCGATCCAATGTTTGGGGCTGAGATCCAACCTAGACTGTTGTTGATACTCCTTATTTCCATCACTATGATTAATGACGGAGTAACCAGTTTGAACTTTCACTGTTCTGTTAGAGTGAACTGCTGTCAATATGTATTTTTCACCTACGTCCGTGGTTATAATGTCTAGTTGGCCGGTTATGTTGAAATGTGATCGGTTCTGAAGGTGGTACATGTGAAGAAACTTATTGTCCTGAAACAAAACAGAAATCTCTCTATTTGACGATGATTGGCACAAAGATCAAAATTTTTAGAATTCCTCAAAATAATCCACTAGCTGCATCTTCATGTATATTTTTGCTGCCTTCCCCTAGATAATAGGGTAGCGGTCGTAACATATTTTAAAAAGGTGTAAAAATCGTAGAAGCTTCCGTAAATTTTGCAAATTCTCATAGTAAACACAAGCAGCGGCAACACTGCGGTGAGCGGTCTGTTCGAGAACGATCTCGATTACTTTGAACGGAATAAATACTCAAGGCGCGGCGACAGTGCGCTCAGTTTAAAACTGAACGGCACAAAATCCAGCGATTGGGCTAGAGTTGGCCTGCAATTAAAAAAACATCATGAGCAGTAGTAAGAAGATGAAAACACACTGTTTCCATTCGGAATGGGAAGAAAAATATTTCTTTACAGAAATTACAGGTAAAGATGAATGCTTGTTATGTAATACATCTGTTTCCGTTGCTAAAAATGGGAATATCGAGGGGCACTATAACGCTGTACATTCGAATTTTGAAAAGTCATTGAACTAAAACAATTAAAAAATCAGTTAGTTGGACAACAGACAATGTTTGTAAAAATAATCGCCAAAAGTAACGCTGCAACTGAAGCATCATACCGGGTGTCCCAATTACACAAACGAAGAAACCTTATGAAGACGAGGAAATGATAAAACAGGCGTTTTAAGAAGCTGCAGATTCATTATTTGCCATTATTAGAAATAAAGACGAGATAGTGTCTGCTAAAAAATCTATCCACGTTTGTGAATCCACATATGGCCGTGTTGGTCAGGATGGTTTTCAGCGATTTTGCGATTAAAGAAGGTGTTTTGAAGTTTATTCGACCAAAAGGACAGACTACTGGACAGGACTTGTTTTCTTCTTTAGGAAATATTATTTTTTTCTGAGAAAATTCCAATATCGAAAATGGTAGGCTTGACAGCCGATGGCGCTCCAGCTATGGTCGGTCGTGATAAGGGTCTCGTGGGGTTATGTCGTAAAGATGAAAGTTTTCCACAATTTTTCGGTATACACTGTTTTATTATCCATCAGCAAGCATTATGTGGACATTTTCTAAAACTAAAAAACGTTATGAAATTGGTAGTAAAAATTGTAAACAAGATTAGAGCTCAAGCGTTACAAAGAAGGCTATTCAAAACCTTGGCCGATGAAAGTGATTGTCAATACGGGGGGAACTACTTCTTCACTCTGAAGTCCGATGGTTGCGTAGGGGACGAGTGCTGAAAGGTCTTAATGATATCATATCTGCCATAGTTCAATTTTTCAAACAACGTGGTGAACCGATTCCGGAACTGGAAAATTCAATCTGGCTTAGAGATTTTGGTTTTGTTGTGGATATTAGAGAAAAATTGAATGAACTTAATTTGCAGCTTCAGGGGAGAGGCAAAGAACTAGGCGAAATGATTTCTGATATAAAAGCGTATATTAAAAAGTTTGAGCTTTGGGAACAACACTCAATCGATGGCGATACCAGGCATTTTCTTGTTCTTTCAGAACAGATATCTGAGTCCATTAGAGCCATATAACAGTAAATATCATGTAGAAATTATCTCTAGCTTGAAGTATAACTTCAAAAATCGTTTCAAAGATTTCATCGAAATTGCTATAGTGGCGCGATTTGTTATTTCACCCTTCATGGAAATTGATATCCAACAGTTTGCAACTTCTGTTACGCAGAATTTTAGCGTTTGCACCTTCTGAGCACGTGAAATATCTAATAAAAGTTGTGGTTGCTACTTGAACATACGCCCTCAGTTTTTCGGAAATATAATAATAATAATAATAATAATAATAATAATGATCGTCTTTATTTAAACTGTACTTCATACAGAAACAAGAGTTGCATATGGTGGCGAAGCTTAGCAACATGCTACTCTTACACTTAACCACCCATGCAAAAAAAAACAAGTTGTTAAGTAGCAGATATCAAACAAAATATACATATATACATACACATGTACATACATACATATACACACATTACATACGTACATGTTGCACCAAGGTTTGCTACATGTACACAAGGGAAGTGAAGAATCATTTAACAATATATCTATAGCAATCTAATTAAGACTATGGATCCAAGTAAATATGAGATTTGACAGCTTTCTTGAAGCAATTTAAGGACATGGTTTTGAATTCAGGACTCAAGGCATTGTATAACACTGAAGCCCTGTACGTGAAAGAACGCTGGAATAAAGTTGTGGAGTGAATAGGTGTAGTTATCAAATCTGGAAATCTAATATGTCTATGATCAATATTTCGCCTAAAGATCAGCTTTTCTCTCTTAAGTATATAGGTTTTGACATAAGTATTAGTTTATGAATAAAAACAAGGTAATGATATTTGACAATATTTTTTGTTATCATCCAGTTTAATTCAATAAGACTACCAGAAACATGGTCAAAGCGCCTTAAACCGCAGATGAACCTAGCACAATTGTTTTGCACAATTTGAATCCGATTTCTAGTAACAACATTGAGACACGGATAATATAAAATATCACAGTAGTTGAAAATCGGCATAACCAAAGATGAACACAGTTTTTTTCTTAGCTTATAATTGAAAATTGCTTTATTGGCATATAATGATCTCAGTCCCAAGTACGTTTTCTTCAAAAGATTTTAAACATGACTGGTGAATCTAAGTTTGAAATCGATTACCACGCCAAGAATTTTAACCTCGTCAACCGGGTACAGTCTTTGAGATCCAATTTTAATAGTTAATCGACTTTTAATTTCTTCTCTCCTACGATCCGAACAAAAAAATAACAGGCTGGATTTACCAGGATTTATTGACAGGTTGTGGTTATTCGAGAAGTCATACACTTTTTGAATATCATGGTTTATTGATGTCTGTGCCATTTCCATATCATCAGTATCAAAATAATGGACCAGTTGAGTATCATCCGCAAAAGACTGGAGTTCACAAAAACTCACAACCTTAGGCAAATCAGCAATATATATCAAAAACAACAAGGGACCCAAAACAGACCCCTGGGGTACTCCAGACGAGATTTCTAGAAAACTAGATTTATTGTTTTCAATTGATACACACTGCGATCGATTTGATATATAATTTCGAAAAAAATTCAATGCAATTGGATCTATGCCATAATACTTCAACTTTGCTATTAACAACTCATGATTTATTTTGTCAAATGCCTTGGAATAATCGATTGACATCACTGCTATGCCCATTTTTTTATCAAGTGCTCTAATAATATTATCCACTAAGTTTAAGAGGGAAGTAGTAGTACTGAAAGATTTCCTAAAAGCAGACTGATCAGATGGGATGATATGCTCCTCTGCATAATGCATTAGTTGTATGTGGGCTGCCTTTTCAACTACCTTCGATAAACAAGGCAACAGGCTTATAGGCCTTAGATCAGCAAACTCATCTGGATTTGATTTTTTTAGAACTGGTACCACAATTGCTCGCTTCCACGTTTCAGGGAAATAACCTCTTTCAAGGCAACTATTAACAAGGTGGGTGATGTAGATGAGAGTAACAGGCAGACTGAGCTTAATCATATGTTCTAAGCTTCCAGGGCGATCGTGTACTCTTCCAGACATTACAGTTTGTCATAATGGTCTGACCACGAATAACGAATTTGCTGTCAGAAATGTTAGTCGCTGTTTGACTTAACAAAGTTGCCTACCAAATGACCTCTGAGGTTATTATCTAGGTCAGGGCTGTCCAACATGCGGCCCGCGAACTCCTCTCTTGCGGCCCGCTTCACGGGTCATGTATACATCACATGTATAAATTACTCTCAAATACCGAATATGCACAATTCTTACATTAACGATAAAATACAATAACATGTGACGCCACTGGTGACCGATAGCAGGCCTCAGCGAATTTAATGGAAATTGGACCGATCTCTCGATCATCTCCGAATATTCGAGAAGCCACGGGCGCGTGTATAAGAAGGTTGAATCAAGCGGGACAGGCAGTTTGGTTCTAGTGCTAGTGGGTTTCAGTACACAGCAACTCTAAAACCGGTATTGCCACCTCTTAGAAAATAGCGCTGGAAATTGCCAAAGCAAAAAACCTTTTAGTGATGGAGTGCTTATCAAAAAGTGTGCAATAGAAATGGCGAAACAATTCAATGAATTAAAAGTTGCCGAAACATTTGAAACAGTCTCAGTATCGCATCAAACAATTGCAAGACCATATCAATGAACATGTATCCAAAAAATTGCGTGAGGTGGCTGAAAAATGTAAATATGTTTCGCTATGCCTGGAAGAAAGCACTGATCTGTCTGACATTTGCCAGGTTGTAATTTTTATCCGAACTATTCAAAACGACTTCAGTGTAGCAGAGGAGATGCTTGACCTTATTCCTCTCCATGGTACAACCAAGGGTACAGATATTTTTGGAGCTGTGAATAAGTTGGTGTCAGACTACGGGGGATTTGATAAATGTTCCTGTATTGTCACTGATGACGCCAGAGCTATGACAGGGACTGAAATTGGATTTGCAGGACTATTGAAACAAAACAGCATCAACTGTCCTATGATATGTTGTATTGTTCACCAAGAGAGCTTATGTGGAAAATCTTTACGTCAAATAAATGTCATGAAAGTGGCTGTTAAAATAACTAATATTGTTAGAGGGGGCAATCGTGCTTTGACTCACAGAAAGTTTCGTGATTTTTTAGCCGAAGTGGATGCTACATATGGAGACTTGTAACTTCACACCGATGCTCGTTGGTTAAGCGCCGGAAAGTGTTTGCAACGATTTTTCGCTCTACGCAAGGAAATTTCTATTTTCCTTAAAAATGAAGTGAAGTCCGACACTACGGAACTGGAAAATCAAATGGCAGATGCACAATTTTTAGCAGACCTTGCATTTTTAACAGACATGACATCTCACGTTAACGAACTGAATTTGAAGCTACAAGGAAAACAGCAGAATATTCATGTTTTTTAATAAATAAATATAATAGAAAAACTATTTTTGTGTACCATATAGTGTATATACCTATTAAAACTCAGTAATAATGTTGTATAGAAAGATCTTATAATGCGGCCCTTCAAACTGCATTTTTTTTGAAGTGGCCCTTGGGCCACATTAAGTTGGACAGCCCTGATCTAGGTCATAATAGAGGTTACCAGATCTGAATCCTTTATTTGCAAAACTGCATGGCTGCCAAGAGGTGTTCGGATATTTAGTGGAAAAAGAAACAGTGTTGGAGTCAAAGCTCATCCCTAGGGATTACCCGCGTTGGCATTAGGTCATGGGAGGGAGACGCTTCCTTGGAAGACAGTCGAAGATCCATCGCACCTAAGTGAACCTACCTAATCACAATTCGATTTCTCTGAAACCTTCAACGAAGGCGTATGAAGTATAGAGTCAATTTACTCGACGCCATGTTTTTGTACGCAGGAGTACATCATCCTGAATAAACGTCCCTTGTATCCGGGATCAACTTAATTCACAAGCGAACAGTTGAGAGACTGATGATTTCTATCCCGATAACGATATATTTATCCGGGTAACACCGCTGGACTACTATTGATTTAAACTTTACTGTATATCCCAAGTGATGAATGCGTTCAGCGTAGGACTGAACATTTGTTCGGTTGAAATATGGACGGCGTCAAGAAAAACAGACGCTTGTTGGACACTACTCATAAGGCTTTAGTTACCGGTAAATTGCGATTTTGTATCCGCAAATAATAGATCGAGGTCCCGGAAAAGCCCCAGTAAACATGAAAATGTATACTCATCTTCTTGGAATGAACATTTTAGATCCTTAAAGAGATATCCTAATTAAGTATGCTTTCAGAATATACGAGGGTTGACTCAAAAATAGGGTTCCCACATTTTTTTTAGACACAAAGAATTTTTCACTTGAAAAAATGAATTTACCATTGGAAGTTTAAGCTAATTTTTCCACATAGTGCAAATTGCTCGTGGATGTTCATGCGCCTGTCAAAGAACTCTCTTCACCATTTGAGGAAATGTTGAATGCTTATACACGTTTTCCATTTGCTTCCCTCAACTGGCGACGAATTTCTATGTTACCACGTTTTGCGTGCAAAAATTGAATGACCGCACGAATGTCGCACCTGAAGGCTCCATTGCACATGTCTGTCAGGCCGGTACTGAGCGTCGCCAATAGGCGCTTCTTGTTGGGATTGGTGGTGGGGGGGCGACAAACACGACAGTGTTTCCAGATTCCGGTACGCCACTTTGTTAAATCGAAATTTCCTGGACAGTACCGAGCGAATGTTACTATTGAGATAAAACAAAGGATAACAGATAAAGTGGAAACATAGTGCAATTTCCGCTGAGGTGATTTCTTAGACTATAAAATTCTAAAGACAATAATAAAATTACTAGACAATTGGTATGTTAGCCTTCTCCGAGAGGTCGACCCGGAAGGTTAAATCTGACGCTAAGAGGTAGGCAACAAATAATACACTAGTTGACTGGTCGAGCAGTACTACCAAGTACCACTCTGCAAAGGGATAGTTGCAAGTTACATAGGAGTATCAAAAGGAACAACTGGCGGAAAAGTGAAAACAGCAACTGATGTCACATAGGGAATCCGTCATGGAGTCAGAAGGAACCTCAACTGACGAAGGCAAAAGGAAGAGGTTAATCGACCTTGAGACTGCACCATTCAAAAGGAGTAAGAAAACTGAAAGGTCTCCCACCAAGGAAGAAATAAAAGGGGGAAAGAGTGAAATGGATCAAATAAAAGAGTTCATGAAAACTATAATGCATGACATAAAGGAGATTCGGAAAGAAAGCCAGGAATTCAAGAAAGAATAGAGGGCAGTAAAACAAGAGAACAAAGAGCTGAAAAAAGAGGTCGTAGAGCTAAAAAAGAGAGTTCATAGAAGAGGGAATGGAAAGGAAGAAAAAGGTAAAAAGGAAAAATAACCTGGTCATAAATGGACTAAAAACTGAATCTACACAAAGAGAAGATATCTACAAGGAAATCGAAAACATCCTAGAATAATCTGTTAAAGTAAAAACAAAGATAAACAAAATCGCAAAAATTAACAATGATTTACATGTTGCTGAGGTCGAAGATTTTAACAAGTTAAAAATCATGAAAGCCAATGGTAAGGCAGCCTTTCTGAAACAAAATAAAATTTTTATTAGCAGTGACTTGACCAGGAAAGAAAGGGCATAGAGAAGATGATCAGGGAAAGAGCAAAGATTCAGCAAGATAAAGGAAGTTCCGTCAGAATTGGATACAATGCTTAATTATAAATAATTTGAAGCATGCTTGGAATAAACATGAAAACAAATTGGAGGAGAGAGGGTACCCTTTACAGACCAGGACAATAACAAAAAACTAGTAATCAATCACAATGAGGACGGGTGACGACTAGGACATTGAAAATGGCGACATGGAATACACGCAGCTTAACAAATAAAGAACATGAGCTTTCCCAGGAATTTGAGAAAATGAACTTGGATATATTGGCAATATGTGAAACTAAAAAAAAGGCACTGGTGTGGAAGAACTAATAGAACGGCATACTCTATTGTACAGTGGAGTGAAAATGGTCGATAGAGTAGCAGAGGGAGTGGGATTTATAATAAGGAAGGACCTAATTCAGCACTTAAATAAGTACGAGTTTGTATTAGAGAGGATACTAGAAATCAAAATTGAGCTCCGTACTACAATAGTTGCAGACTATGGTCCCAATGACGATGAAAGAGCTCAAAATAGGGAAGAATTTTGGGAAAAGCTAACGGCCCCGTTGCACATGTCTGTCAGGCCGGTACTGAGCGTCGCCAATAGGCGCTTCTTGTTGGGATCGGGGGTGGAGGAGCCTACAAATACGGCAGTGTTGCCAGATTTCGCCTAGCATCACGCGCGGCAAAGTTACAGGTTGAGAACCATATTTTTGTAACAACCCTCGTACTGCTCACATCCCTTTAAACGTATTCTAAGTACAACTGTCGGCGGGGATAGATTCGAACTTGGATTAATACCCAGCGATTAAAAGAGGCAAGAGTATCTGTGAATATACGGACAATATCCAGGACGGAGTCGGTCACGTTCCCGCACCGTGGAGGCGTCGGGGACGTCTCCAGAAATATCATTGAGAAAAGAGAGCGACCGGAGTCGCCAAACACCTTGGAAGTCGTATGTAGGGAGCTGACGGAGGAGCATTCGGGGATGCTGCAGGGGTATGCAACCCTTAGATCCCAACTATCGGAAAGGGACAAGAAGAATGGAAGGGTCTGTCCAGAGGGCAGAGGAAAGACAAATCTAGGAAAGCTAGTGCAACCACAGCTGCTATAAACACATCAGAAACCTCTGGCACTGTAGTATCCTGTAAAACTGATGTCACTAACGAATCTTTAGTATATGCACATACTATTTTCAGTGCCAAAAATTTAGTGACCTGACATATTTTGTGCTAGATGCAAAATAGCTGTTAACCAGCAATATATACATATCCTAGCGTGGAAAGGTTTATTTTTAAAACTGTAATGCTCACAATTAATGTCATATATTTCATTTATAATAGACTATAAAGGCATTTATGGTTCAGTATGCTTTAGATATACATATGCAAACTACTGCACAATTCAGGTGGACTGTGTGGACAATTTTTTTTTCAAATTTGTCACAAGGTATTTTCATAATAATACGAACGGCCCTTGATTCAGCAGATCTAATACAAATCAGCGCAACTTCCGACTTCTCAGCCGGAGCATCCCGGTAGCTTATTTTAAATTCCGCTATCTAGGTTCTACAGTAGAACCCAGATTATCTGAAATCCGTTTTAACCGAAGTTGTTCAGAAAATCAGCGCATGATCCGAAATAGCTGCCGGTAGTTCCCCTTCAGGCGTTTGCGTTATTAGATTCGCTGCCGGTGATTCCCCAAGCGCGTTTGCGGAATTCACTGGTATGTGTGCGTGTATGTTTGTTTCAGTCAGGTTCATAATCGCTAAGATGGAGCAGCATAGAAATAAACGTAAACGCGTTGTTATTACCATAGAACAGAAACTTGAGGCAATCAGACATTTAGATAGATGTGATTTGCTTAAAAACGTGGCAAGTGATTTGTGTGTGGGCGTGAGTACCCTTTCAGAATGTAAAAAATAACGCGAACAACAAGAAAATGCGACAGCAGCTTATGTGCTAAATACTCGTAAATATGTATATAAGATAAATATTTATTTCCACTTTATCCGAAATTTCGATTATAGTGGATACCAAATAAAACCCGATGCACGTCATCGATCTGGAGCTGTGCGCTGTTGCCAGAATTGATATGAGCTCTTTACACCGACTGTTAAGTTGTTTTGGCATTTTGGATACTTTATACCACTTCACAGTAACTTTTGTTCTGAAAAGAACAACTTTTAATTGGCAAGGCAACGATTCAAAGCTCAAATAGCGCAAAACTCACAAACTAAACAATAAAGAACTAATAGTACGACAAAAGGACAATGGCAACTGATGTCAACAAATGAGAAGTGGCAACCTCACATTTCTCTGCACGGCACTACCAACCGAATCGAGACGGGGAAATTTAAACTTCAAGTAGAAATATCACATTGAATGTAGTCAACTGTTGGTAACCATGATTTTTATGAATGACATCACCTATGACGTGCATCGGATTTTATTTGGTATCCACTATATCCGAAAGCACTTGGGTCCACATTATTTCGGATAATCGGGGTTCTACTGTATTTACAACGTGTACCCCGCAACGATTGCACAGCGTCAGCCTCGCGGTCCGATTGCGCGTGACATCTCGCAGCGTGTACCGGTCCCTCAAGGCCATAGAATCCTAAGAATAGTTGTAGGTAGACCAAAATGTTCAGACTCATTCTATAAAGCCGCGTACAGACCGAAAATCCACGCTGAGCAAACGAATGCAAGCACACGTGACGTTGGCGTTTCTTGTTGGAAGGTATTCGAATGCGCTCGTCTACATGTCGCCCACATCCAAATTTAGTTTCTAGTTGAAACGCGTCGGGTCAAGTTCGGTGCTACTGTCGACCGACGATGACCATTTACTGCTGGCGAGTGCGGGGTTTTTAATAATACATTCTGTAATATCCAAAAAAAAGGAGAAACGGCCTATACTTTGGTAGGTTATAACACCATTTAAAAATAGGGCCTTGTATAGTGGCAGTCACTGACTAGAGGAACTTCAAAGTGAGGATGGTACATTTTAAGAATTTCTCGCCTCTCATCGAATGCAGACAAACGACTAAATACTAGAAGCAATAAATCCTGTCCAGACCAAATCAAATCTCCCTTTGATGTACCGATCAAGGAGCAAACGCAATCGAACGCCAACGCCGACCTTGGAAAACGTGGGCTTGTGTTGGCTCGCGCCGTACACACCGATTCGAACACCTCCACATCTGTAACCACATGTTCCTTGGCTTGCGTTGGAATCTCGGTCTGTACGCAGCTTAAGAATGTGTAGATGGAACACGACCTGTCATGAAGCGTGAACCGGGAAACTGCTGCTTTTGAAGCTATCTAAATTGAGTATGAAAGGATACTTCCGAGCATCTCTTCTAATGCAGTAGATGGGTTGATTGACAACTAGACTTAACGTTTGGCAAGAGGCTCACTGATGACAATTTCGTCTCAAGCATGTAAACCAGGCAAATGGGTGTTTTGCTCTTCGAGAGTCGTCTGATCAAGGTCTCGATGGCACTGCACCTTTTGGCTTACCGTACCTTGCTCCTCGCATTTAAAGTACCCAATCCAGCAGTCTAGTGTTCTGTACCAGGTGGTACAATTTCCTTGCCAGACCTGTTCTAAACTGCCTCGGTTCTAATTTTGGTTTCCCGAGGAGTTGATGTCCTTTGTGGTCCAGCGCTGCGCACTCACACATTGTCTGCAGTTGAGGTGTTCATCATACAGCCCTAGTTTGCGCAGGTGTTACTTCAGGCCAGCATGTCTTGTAAGAAGTATTGTAACTATATGGAGTTGGTTTCTACTCATAAGAGCTGTATTTTGGACATGGTCCCAAGATAAGTTTTTGCGACATGCCTGCCTCCAGCCACTAGGGTTTCAAAACTAAGTTCGTGAAATTGGTTCCGTATAGAAATGTAGTAAAGCTGTGCATTTTCAACATGAGATTATCATCGAAATTCATATACTTTCAGCAACATACTTTTTAGTTTTGAATTCTCTTGGTTGGTGCTCGCCGCCCTTAGTGTCCATGTTCCTTGTGCTGGTTTCTCACCCATTCTTTGACTTGGATCATTATTGTGCTTTTGGCACCTGCAAGACTGGTTCTGGGCCTATGAAGGGTATGGACGGTTCTTTCCTTGCAATGTCATCTGCCCTTTCATTGCCTGCGTTATCTAAATATCCTGGCACCTGCATCAAAGTTACTTTGTTGTGTTCCGCCAGTACTTTCAATTCTTGTTTGCACTCCAAAACCAGGGCATATGTCACTCTAGACTTCTTAACGCTATGAGAGATGCCTGATTGTAAGTACATACGGCGATCTTTTATTATTGTTTACTCCTGCGCAATGCAAACTGGCATACACTTCTGCCTGGAAAGTAGATTTGTGTCTTCCAAGTGGTATATTGTGCCCAGGATTGCACCTGTTCTCATATACAAACTATGCAAACGAGTTGAAATGAAACCAACTCGATGCTACTGACCATAACGAAACGCTGTGATGCATTTTGGTGGAGATATCCCTGGTGAATGATTGAGGTGCTTTAGTAAGTATACCATTTTTTAAGAGCCTCACAGTTCGGGTAGGAAAGCCTTAATCTATCGAGATCATCTGCCAGATCATCTGCCTACAAGTGGCTACAAAACTTTTGTCCTGTCAAAAATCAGGCTCAGACATGCGTCACATGCTATGGCTGTTGACAAATGTAGAGACCTGCTCAGTGTTTTGAGTCACACAGGCCACGCATCTAAGTCATGGTGTGGAGATTTGATGCGTAAGACACCTAACGTCTTCTGCTAGACCCAACAACTTTTAGACGACAGTCTCCTATAAGGAGACCCACCATGGTACCTATGACCCTCCTATTAAATCTAAGCAGTTTCTCTGTAAATTCGGGAATCTGTTCATACTTTGGTTCTAACTGAATGTTTCACCATTCTAGAGAATACTTCTTGGTCCAATCTTCTATGGACACCTTGATGCCTGTTACGGCCACGCCATAGAAATGCTCTAGACTTGTAAGGTGGTTGGCCCAATTATCCCCTCAAAAAGGGTTACTCAAAGACGATGTGAGCTATTATACACTGACACAGATAGAGTTATACACCTACAAATACACCGATTTATCTCTTAGGCCAACGTTATCTTTCTCTCTCTACCTACTCCAAACAATAGGAAGAGAATTCCACGTCTTATGCAGGTGTGTTATGTATCAGGTTCTTACAGTTGGGATACTTAGCGAGATGTTTGATAGAGGAAAAATCTTTCTTCAAGGGGCAAAAGCTTTAATCTAGTTGTGCTGTTAACTTTAATGTTAATATCTTACCGGATTTCTCTATAATCCGTTTAAACGGTTTGGAACTCATATAATGGAGGTATTTCAGTTTATTTGTATAGTTTGAGTTAGAGTGATGTATGGTTATGTATTCAAATTGCATTTCAGTTGTCTAGTAGTTTACATTTATACATAATGCGTGATGCCGAAAATTAAATTCAGTGGAAACGATGAAAATTTGGGCAAATAATATTTATTCGTAGTTTATGGAGCTGAATATATAAACTGACATTTGTAAAATAGTTATACATACTCATTTAACTTTGTTTCACAATTATATACCTCAAATTTAACAACTTCACTAAATAACTCGGTATTTGAAAAACACTTCGGGTCATTATGAGCTGTGTAAGTATATCCGTAAGACTGAGTGGCACATCCTTATCTAGGGGATGTGAATAGGAGGATGATACAAATAAGCTCTTGCTTGAAACTGCTCAGCTGTATAAACACAATAATGAACACGGGGGAGCGTTAACCTTCTATGGCTAATGTGAAACTTGGATGGGCCGTATTACACCTTTAATATTTTGGAGGAGCTGATCCAGTACTCTGAAATCCATGGAAAAGGCCTACGAGCTTCCCAAGGGTGACATGGAGTCAGGTGGATGATTTCTTCACTTCTCATGCATCAATATTATCAAAATTAGAGCTTTAAAAATTGTATGTACACAAACGCAGAAAGAAGGTACAATCCTCAAACAGTAACTTACTGAACTAGTAAACTCGGT